ACGCCTCAGCCATACAACCGCACGAGTGAATGTGGGAGTTGGTCGTTTTGGCAGCGCTAGTTACCTCCGGAATTGTCTGGATAGAGGTCAGTGCTGGCCTGAACTAGTCGAGGATGAGCATGTGCTGGAAGCAGCACAGACGATGGTGCTGCCATACCATGCCAATGGGTTCCACCCTGACAAAGCCGGCATGCCAGGCGTACCACAACCTTGGTCTTCGTCTTACCATACAACCATCCGCAGGAGAACATTCTCTGCCGAGTAGGTTATGTATATACACCAGACACACACACGCGTGATTTTGGGGGTCCCATGGGGAGCCTTCAGGGTTCTGTAGGGTGCTACGTGAGGGTCCACATGATATAGGGGCCTTAGAATTAGAATAGGTCTTGGAGTAAAGTCTAGGTATAACCATGACCAGGAAAGTTGAGGAATAGTGCTTGTAGTTGCTTTAAGCTTAAGCATTTACCCTAAGCAATCAACCCTAAACCCAAAGCCCTAAACCCTAAACCCTTTTCTGCACATTTTAAGGCTTGAGAAGGTTGGGATTTGGGCGCGGGGCTCCGGAGTGTCGGATGAGAGTTTGGATTGGTGGCTCGGTTAAAATTTAAACCCTCTCAACCTGCCTGAATTATTACTGAAAATAAAATCCGAGAGCCGTCATGGTCTTTCGGTGGGTTGCCTTCATACAAAAGCTAGGCCTTTGGCGGAGAGTCGGCGACATGTCGTCTGGTGGATGAGTCACTGCTGTCGCAACGGTCAAGATTTGATCTCGCTTCCTATCTCGGTTACTGTTACTACCACAATGAATATCACTTTCACTAATACCAAAATGTCCTTTCTATGTCTGACATTACTGTTGCTATTACTTCAGTCTCCGGTTCAAGGTGTCGATGTCCCGCAGAGAAGCCTGCGGCGCCCAGACGTCCCGGCAAATTTCTTCTAAACTCGTATTCAACAAGGATAGGGTTCAGGGTTTTCAGGGTTTAGTATGGTAAGCCCTTAGATGGAGCAGTGGAAAGCCCTGAGCTATGGAAGTCTCTCATACGGCCCTGGGACTCGGCCACTCCTTAAGTAAGGGGTTTCGGGCTGAGGAGTTAGGGTTTGCGATATTCCACCCCGAACCTAAACCCTCCATTAGGCCCAAACGATCTCCACAGAGTCGGCAGGACGTCTGCACTGGTTTGGAGCTTAGGGTTTACCTTACAACCCGCAAGCTTACACCCTGATTAGAAGAGTGTAATAAAATGTAGCCACCTGGCGCAACCCTAAAGCCCGTTTAGACGTAGCAACCCCTAGAATAGCCGGAATAAGACCCTTATGGTACCCAACCGCTACGGCCTAGAAGGTCAAAACCTCAAGTTCTTCCTAGAGAAGGAAAAGAAGAAGCCCTTGCAGTAAAATGGAATTGTGTTTGCTTGTAGGGGCTACGGAGGGGCCGGGTCTCAACAACAAACTATATACCCTAAACCATAAACCCTTTACTTCAATAGAACCTAGACCCTAAACCCTCAACCCCAATATTTCTGTGCAGTCATTCTTACTGTCCATGCCAAAGCCTGGCTAAACTCCAGGCTCTCATAACTAAACATTAGCTCTCAGACCGAGAAGCTAACCACAACCCCAAACAAGAACTTATAACCAAAATAGATGCCTTGTACATCCTGCAGAACCCTTCCAGAACTAAGTTTGAACCTTTCTAACTCGAGAAATGCGAGCCTGGCGCTGGATGAGGGCCGGCGTCTCCTGAAGACTGGTCTTGGTGGAACGTGAGTTCATCATCAGTGAGGCCATATTGGCGCTGAAGGGTTCAGGTTCATGGGCTTATTTTGGGGCTTCAGGACCTTAACAACTAGAACAAGACCACTTTAGCTATGTAGGGGCCTATCTATGTAAGGGGATACTATTCAAGGATACCGTGCAATTCACAGGTCACTCGCCGGTACAGGGATCGAGAACCTGAAATCGCCAACACCAAGCCCTGAACCACCAAATCTGAAAACAGGGGGACTGAATGGCCTGAAGAGTTAGAAAAGTGTGCTGGGGCATACAAGACTTCGGTTATGCAAGGAAACGATGGGGGTAATATCCATACTACACATTTGGCCATGAAGCCCTAAACCCTCTCAACCCTAAACCCAAAACCCCGAATCCCTAAAGCCCTAAAACCCCAAATCCCGGAAGCCCTAAACGCTAAAATCCCATAAGCCCAGTTCCCAAAGGCTCCGATGTGGCATCCAGGGCATCGAGCGCCTCCTTCAGCCTGGGCTTCAGGATTCCGACTTCCGGGTTCCAAGCCCTGGTTGTTTTTCTTTGGGGGCCGTGGGGGTTTAGGACTTAGGGGTTTAGGGTTTAGGACTTAAGGATTCAGGGTTTAGGGGTTTAGGGTTTAGGGTTGAGCGTTTTGGGGCTTGGGGCTTAGGGGATTTAGGGCTTGCTGTTTGAGGGTTTCTCATAGTTAGAGGCCGGGGCCGAGGCGCCTAGGATGTGTAGGGGCTTCTGGGTGCGGGTCTGTACTGCCAGTACCGAAGCGTTGGCCGGTGATAGCCGTTAAAGCAGAATTAAGAAATCCTGCATACTCACGAGGACAGCATAGCTCCCGTCCTTTAGGGTGCTTCAAGCCCTAAGCCATTAAGCTCTAAAACTCCCCGACCTAAGCCCCGGAGGCAACCCAGGATTCTGTCCATCAGCCCTCAACCGCAATGGGCGACTTCCCGAGCATACGTTCATGGTTCTGGGCTTTGGAACTTGAAGGGCTTTTGGGCTTGAGAGTTTAAGCTATACGGCTGTAGGGATTGGGCTTTATGCTTTCGTTTTTTGGGATCCTGCACTCTCCACCCTCAGCCCATTGATGCGAGAGCATGGCGCCCGTAACACTAGGATTTAGGGTTTCGGGTATACTATATAAAGCGGGCCTATGGCTGTGTTGTAAGGGCCTGGATACTCAGGCTAGAGTCGGAAGGTTCTATGTTACACTTAGAGCTATCGAGAAACCCTTCTATGAATTTCGCACAACCCTTACAAACCCCTAGACAACCCTCAAACCTTCTGAATCCCATGCCACTCAAACCCTGTAAAACCGCAACTCGGAACACCACAACACACTAAACTCTACCTCCTATACACTGAACCCTACACCCTGAACTCCCTAAACCGAGAACCAAACAAGCAACAGTGCCTGAACCCTCACATAACAAAATGTAGAATAGTGTTGTGGTGTATATGAACAACTAACTGCGATCAGGAAAAACCTAGGGAATACTATGGGTAACTATTCCGACCCATATTCACTAAACCCCTGAAGCCTTTTGGCCTAGAAACTATAGACTCTATAGGCCTGAAACTAAAAACTAAAGACGCTATAATATAACCCCTAAAACCCTAAAGACCCTAAACCCTAAAAACCTCAAACCCTGACAATCCTAAAACCCATTTTGGGTGGAGGAGCCCATCGATCTCCTGTTGCCTCTTGGCCTGCCATGTGAGCACGGTGGGGTTGGGTTTAGGGTTTGGTGTTAGGGTTAGGGTTTAGGGTATGGAGCTTTAGGATTTGGGGTTGAGGTCAGGGTTGAGGGCACAGGGTGTGTAGGGTTCGGGGCTTTGGACCAGGAATCAGGGTGTGTGCATTGGGATGCTGTGCTTTGTGGCTCCAGGTTGCGTGTTGGGATTCTGGGCTCAAGTTACAGTGTCTTCAGAGTCCGGATTTAATTTTGAGGTGTTGGGTCTTGGGGTTTTCGGCCGTTAGGCATTTGGAGTTTAGAGCTCATGGTTTAGGGCTCAAACCATATATGCTTCTACACTAAAGCTTCGAAAGACGCTCGGAAAGAAACCTTGCAGGAGACATCACAGTGAGGGAATCTAAGTTGCACAGTCGCAGAGCTTATGCAAGGATTCCGGAGAGGGAAACCCTTTAAACCTTAAGCCCGAAACCCCCTAAACCCCAAACCCTAGGAGACGTGCCTGCTTCTCGGCGAAGGACTCTGGCGTGACCAGGCATTCCGCCTCCCTGCTATAGCTTTAGGGGTCTGGGAGGGGCTTTGTAATCAGAGTTCTTTTATGGGGTCCTGAAGCCCATTATACTGACACTATACCTACTAGTGATTCCAGTATGCTGACTGCTGGGCGCCCGTTGCTCTGTGGGGGCTGCCTACTCACCCAGCTCTGAGTGGGAACCGCCTAGGAGGCCGGGCTGCCCTAGACCCTAAGCCCTAAACCCTGAACCCTTAAACCGACATTTAGGATTTGGGGGTTTCGGAGATGTCTGCAGACGTAGAGTTCAATGCTCTTTCAGGCTTTGGGTTTAGGACTTCCTGGCTCCAGGTTCAGGCGCCTTAGGGTTCAGGGCTTCGGGTGTAGGTTTTAGGGTTTAGGGCTTAGGGTTCAGGATTTAGGGACTCGCTTTTAGGGTCTAAAGGGTTTAGGGCACCTTCCTAAACTTACAGAGAAGCTGAAGAACTCGTGAACATAGCGTAGCAGTACTACGTAGTTCCAACCTCTGGTCAACAAATAGCCGTAGTTCTGCGAAGACGAACAGCGGTACTAGCAAGAAAGAACAAGATTTGAAGCTGAAATGACCGAAATTCTTTCGAAAGCCGGCCCGGAGCCCCGAAAAACTCGGAGGTGCCCAAGCTTCCACGGAAACCCCAACTCCACTGAAGCCCCCAAAAGATTCCCCAAAAACAAGAGGGACGGTTCAAGAACCCCCTCCCCTGAACCGGACATCCTAAAGCCTGAACCCTAACCTAAAACCCGAAACGGACACCCTAAAGCCTAGGCGCTCAAGCCTCAAGGGCCTGAACCCCTAAGCCCGACACCATCGCCTTCGTCGGGGACTGGGGGTTGATAGAACTAAACCAACGGAAACCCCAAACCTCTTCCCTTAAACTCAAAGCCACACAACCCTCCAGCTCATGGCTTAAAGCTTAGAGTTTAGGGTGTAGGGATGTGTAGGGTTTCTTAAGCTCCAACTAAATTTAACACCCTGAACCCTAAAACCTCTCCGGGGCAAGCGCAGGCCCTTGGTGAACTCCATCAGTGCACCCATCTCTGTCTCCAGGCCTGGGCCATCGCTTTGGGATTAACCTAGCCGGTGTTGCGGCCCATTACGGTAGAAAGACGGGTTCCTTCCAAAGGTTCTTTTGAAGGCTTCTACAAGGGTTTCTACAAGGGTTTGGGGGTACAATACAATGATATATGATAAGGGGCCTAAGGAGTGATGTTTACAAAGTGCCACAACCCCAAACCCCTCAGAAACCCTATGTAACACCCTACAAACCCTAAACACCAACAACCGCAACTTTAGCAAAGCCCAAGCCCTGACAACCGTAAACTTGCCCTGAATCCAGACAGCCCTAAACCCCGGTTTCAAGCAAACCAATTCCCAAACCCCAACAGCCCTGAACCGCGCAAAAAACTAAACCCTAAACCCCCAGAACAGGTGATAGACTGAGCCCAACGCTCTCCTGGTCAGAGTTCAAGTTGTTCAACTCAGAGTCGAGCCTGGCTCCGGGTTTGCAGGGGTCTTGGGTTAGGGGTTTCAGTTCACGCCCTAAACCCTAAAGCCTAAACCCTGAACCCTAAGCCCGAAACCCTAAACTCTAATAGGGTTGAGGGGTCAGGGTTAAAGGGTTTCAAGGGATTTGGGGTGTTCTAGGAAATGGATGCTTTCAGGTCTTACCAGCTTCTAACGTTCACGTGGTTGAGGTGTAGGGTGTTCAAAGAGTGTTGTGTGTTTCGGATTTCTGGTTGTCAATTTACTGGGTCGGGGCTGCTTCGTTTGGTCTAGTAGGGCCTTCTGGTGGCTCAGGAGATTTGGGATTTAGGGTTAGTTCTGGGGGCCGCAGGGCCTTGCTGCCATTCTCAGGCTTTGGGATCCGGGCTCTGGTTTCAATATTCAGTTTTTGCATGTTCATGGTTTCAGGGTTGCGTTGGTTTGGGGGATTCTGGATTTTAAGGTCTTTAAGTTTTTAGCGCGAAGTGTTTTGGATTTGGTTTGGGGATATGTACAGAGTTTGGGGGTTCGGGTTTGTCAGGTGCAGGTGTATTTCTGGCCTTGTGTATGGGGTATTGGGATGCTGCTGTTGTGTGAGTCCTTGAATGGTTCCTTGCGTCTGAACGAATACAGGTGTTTCTGAAGACCCCTACTTTACGTAACCGTATACAATCGTGGCAACGCCCACACTTCTCAATCCTAAACTCGACAAAGCCTTACGAGCCCCACACCCTGTGAGCCCTAAAACCCAAACCCTAAACCCTAAAAGCCCTATAAACCCCATGCGCCCTGCAAACCCCATAAACCCCAAGCCCAAACCGTAAACCCTATAAGCCCTCAACGCCCTACAAACAGAGGACCCTTATATAGTACCTTAAATATTAGGATCCTCATTATAAGGACCCCCAAATAAGGTAACCCCCAATGTTCGGATCCTCCCACATGAATGCCCCATAAATTCTAAAGAGGACCCTGGCCACAGCCTCTGGGCTTCCTGGGTCTTATACTGAATGTCCTTCTCCTGTTTATGCTTCGGGGTTTAGAGCCACCAAGCTTTAGGGCGTGGGGTTTAGGGTTTCGGTTTAGGGTTTAGGGTTCAGAGCCTTCTGAACTCTAAACCCAAAAACCTAACCCCGCTATGGGTTTTGGTTTAGGGCTTAAGGTTCAGAGCCTTCTGAACTCTAATAAACCCTAAACCCCCAAACCTAACCCCGCCATGGGCTTCGGCTTCGGGGCTTGGAGATTTGGGGGTGTGCGGGCTTCGGGCTTCGAGTTTGTAGGGCTTAGGCTTCGGCGTTAAGCGTGTTTGGTACGTCTAGGCTTCGGTGTTAGAGTGTATGAGGGTTCGGGGTTTAAAGTGCTTCGGGGTTCTAAGCTCTCGGGGTGTTTAAGCGGGGTTTAGAGCTTGTAGAGATTTAGGCTTCGGGGTTAGAGTGTTCAGGGTTTCGGGCTTGGGGTGTTTAGGGCTCGGGGTCTGGAGTGCTCAGGTCTCGGGGTTTAGAGTGCTTAGGGTTTTGGGGTGCGGCGTTTGTGAACGGGGTGTAGGGTTTTTGTCCTTCGGGTTTGGGGCCGCAGGGTTGGGGTTGAGTGTGGGATCCTTGCATCAGGAACCCTTGCGTCGATGCTTAAACATGTAAAACCCCAGCCGGAAACTTCAACCATCTCGGCGCCCTGAGGATTGGACTTGGATATGGGGTGTGGCAGGGTCCTTCCGAGAAGGATGGTGTATCTTGTTGAATGGGCCTCAGAACTTGTGCCCCTGATCGTCGAACTTTGGGGCTTCGGCCTCAAAACTTAGCGTTTAGGGTTTACAGGTTGTTTAAGTTTGTTTTAGTTTTTAGGGTTTAGAGTTGTCTGGGCGAGGAGGTTCCGCATGGAAGGTTTACTTGGCTTGGATTTGGTTGCATTCGGGGAATTTACGGTGTCAGGATGAAGGTGAGGTCTCGTGCTAAATTTAGCTAGCCTTGTTCTTCGAGATCTTCCCGTCTAATCATTCAAGGGTTTTTCCTTGGGTTCGCGCGCACACAGCAGCTCTGCTCTGAATTGAGGACACTGCCTCATGCATAATGCCGGAGAGTATCGTGCACCCAAGCGTCGCTGCATTTGGGCAAGTAGAAAAGCAGCAACGGACGGATCTGCAGAGAGCCTTGCTGCAATACACGGGCCAGTGCACCGTCGTGACAGAACGCATCGCCCCAAGGAGCCGGCGGAACCTGGTGTTCTCGTACGTACATACGGGCCGGGTTGCGGTCCTGCAGCCCCAGGTGCCCGCACGATCTGACCAGGGTCCATGACTATGACAAGCCAGTCCAGTTCCAGATCCTAGCTTCTCGATGCACAAGGCCGGCAAGAACTCCAGCGGGAGCACTGTCGCATGCTGTAGGGGTCTGAATGATTACAATAGCATGCCCGTGCAATCCCCGTAGAACTGCAGCATAACATACATATCTGTCAGGATGCCATCAAAGCTTCTCTAACCCTTCCGGAAAGCTTTAGAACGGCAGGACCTTGGGGCTTTCGAGTTTTAGGGGCTTGGCTTGGGGAGAAGGCTGTGCTTCTTCAAGCGGCCTGAGGCTATGGTTAAGTATGGGTTTATTGTATTTTGTTGGCTTCGGGGTTTAGAGTTGTAAGGCTTTGAAGTTCAGGCTCTGGCTCTTTATGCAGGCTTTAGGCGATTGGGTTAAGAGCTCAGTGCTCTTTCAGCGTTATGTACCGGCTTAGGGTCTGGGGATGTTTAGGATTTGTTTTAGGGTTTGGGTGTTCCAAAAGAACACCCTTAAACCATAAACCCTGAAACGTCAGGGTATAGGGTTGAGGGTTTCGGGTGAGAGCCCCGAAGCCAGAGCCACGCCTTCTGCGACTTATCGATCTTCATGTCCTGCATGTCCTTCTTGAAACCCATCTCGGCCTGTCTTCGGACTTCAGTGCTTCGTTTAAGCTTCGGGGCTAGGGTTTGGGATTTAGACTGTACCGACGGTTTGGGGATTAGGGACTAGGGCTTTGCAAGATCTTACCCATGTTCGCCCTCCTCACCCGTCACACCCAGCCTAGCAGCATTGAACGCAATGTTGGGGCCTGAGTGATTTGGGCTAAGAGTTGGGGTATGTTGTAGTACAGCTCTTAAGTTTTACAGGAGCTGTAAGCCAATACTAAGTACTCAAACCTCCATATTAGGCTCTTTGGTTCACCTGAGCCCGCTATTGAAATGAATGTCCAAGCACAACTGCGGAATTAGAGATCATACCGCTGTAATGTCCATCGTACCCTAGACTGTAAACCCTTAAGTCCTTGCGTGTATACCGCAAGCCTAGGGTTAGGCTAACCCCAAAACCCTAGTCTAAATGTGAGGGGTCATATTGGGTTAGAATAGAAATCCTGAGTATTCCTGTATTTTCAGTAAAGTCTGCTCTACTATACCCCAAAACCTTGATCAAAATATGGAGGTCCCCATGTTATTAACTTGACGACGACCACGATGTCCGGGTCTCGCACGGTCTTCTCAGAGGAGCGCCTCGGCGCAGCTTCCAGATTTGAGTTTTTTGGGCTCTAGGGTGTAGGGTGTAGGCTTAGGGTTTAGGGTAGGGTTTAGGGTGTAGGCCTATGGTTGCGTTTTCTGGGTTTAGGTTTAAATGAGCCCTACAATCGTTGCCAAAGTCATCGAAGGCACATCTGGCTCAAGCTCATAGCCATGTCAGCCTCCACATCCTGCGCGTAGCTGGGCCGCGAGACTCTTTGAGACCAAAAAAAACCTAAAAGGTGTTGCTTAGGGTTTCTTCGCGGTTCCTTTAGGCGATGCACAGGTATGTTTGTGTTTATAACCCAACAAAGGGGCTTATATTTGGATGAATTAGCTAAACAAAAAAAGCAGGCCTCCATGATGTCCTTTTCTGTATTTCCGTGCTCAGGGTTTTATGGAGAACAGGAGTCTGGAACCCTCAAAGCGGAAAAAACTCCTGAGTCGTCAACCTTGTTCTAGCATGTTGTTGTGAGCCTAACCCGGAAAAGCTGTCCCGTACAGCCTAATTACAAGTTTACACTCATTCGCAGCCGATAAACCCGAGAAACTTCGAACCCTGAAACCCCAATCTCCAAACCACAGACTCCCAGCCTGAGAACCCTTAAAAACCCTCGTAAAAAACACAATGAAACCCCCTCGAACAAGCACCGAAAAACAGAGTAAACCTGAAGCCCAAGGCCCGACAGCCCAGAAAGCCCCCAAGCGAAGACCAGCGCAGTTGCTCCTCAAGGCGGCTAATGACGCCTGCGAGCTGTTAGGTGCCGGTGTTTGTTTCACGGTTTGGGCTTTGGGTTTAGAATTGCTGCTAAGGATTATCCAAGAGGGGCGTCTTACATACGTAGAGGGTTTGCTTCGAGGGGTGTTTGTAGAATGCTTGCTAGGGCACCTATATGCGAACATGGAAACTGAAAAGGGCCCCCATTGAGACTGCTGTTCCTTTACCTAGAAAGCGCTCAGGATACAACTTCAGGAAGAGTCCTTTAAGCCGGGTCTCTCTAGACGCGGTTTCCAAGGTAGCCCTTGACCCTACACCCCCAAAACCCCCAAACGTCTGAACCCTAGAGACGCATGTCAGGGCTTCGGGCGGTAGGGGCTCCAGTGGAAGGGCAGTCTGCATTGGGACCCCGAGTATCCAGGGCCACGTGACGAAGGTCAGAGGGCTCGGAAATATAGGGGCCTTAATAGTTAGAGTAGGGTTCCTTTACAAGGGTCTGTGAGGGCTACTGTAATGGATCTATACGGGTACTATAGTATACAGGAGCCTTCATAAGTAGATTATTGTTTTCGGACCCATTAGACTATAAGTATAATAAGGAACCCTCAAAATAATCGAATCTAGGTAATGGTTACGGCCCCCATAGTATTATCATACATAGTATGCAGGGAAACGTCCTGCTTATAGTCAGGATACCTCCTAAGCCCTGTAGCGAACTTTCCTAACCCCTAAACCCTGAGTTCTAAACCGCAATCCCAAAATCCCAGTTCCTACATCCCAGTTCCTCAACCCAAACATATTACACCGCAAAATCCTAGAAAAATGTGCCCGAGGCCTCCGGCGGCTCCCTTGCGCTCGCCCGAAGTCACCTGCCACAGGAGGAAGGCTAACGAAGAGCTTCCAAAATCAAGGGCTAACGGATCCTAAAGGTTGGTACGGCTTCATATAGTGTTGCATAAGGGCTACATGGAATTCGCTAACGAATACTGCAGGTGGATACGGGTCTATATATATATATAGAGAGAGAGAGAGAGAGAGAGAGAGAGAGAGAGAGTTGCAAAAGGGCTATGAGCTGTAAGATTCTGTTACAGCTAGTACAACGCTCCGCAAATGCAGTATTCAACAGAAGGGTGTGTTCATGTAAGCTGCATTGATTCCGGGGTTTAAGGTAAATATAGCTTCGGGTTGGAGATTGGTGGAGTTTGGAGTCTAGGGCTTGTCGCTCGGGATGGGGTTTGCGAATTTAGTTTTGATGTGGGATGCACAACACACCTCTGGGTTTTCTAGGTGACAAGGTGTTGGTGCTTTGGAATGTTTCTATCTGGCGCTGCATTCCACTGCTGGAGCCAAAACCCAGAAGCCACAACATGCCAGCACCAAAATAGGACCCGTATTGATTGAATAGGAAGGGTGTATTATACCATAATCAAACTAAAGGGATACTATTCCCATTCTCAAAGCCCTTATAATGAACTCGGTTTTGTCTCCCGAAATGTCGGATTTTGAAGACAGATACGGCAGGAAGCGAGGTAAGGTACCTCCTGATAGCCGCTTTGTGAGCTTAGGGGTCCGGGGTTCTGGGGCTTAGTAAAGTGGCCTTAGAACTTGGAAGAACTTGGAAGAGGGTTTGGGGTTGATATGATAGCAAACACGAAGAAGGGCCTAAGGACTCCGATTACGAATGATTTAGGCCCCTACATGAGGCTCGCGACTTCAGATTTCAAGAATCATAAACCTCAGCAGCCTTAGCATCACAAGTTTAGAGTGCTGGCATCGTCAATTTGCGGTTTAGGGCTCGAGGTCCTGCTAAATTCTAGGTTAAGGCGCCTAAGTGCTTTGAAGGGAGCGTGCATAGAAACCTCGCGACGAAGGCCATTTCGATTTCAGGGCTTCCCTAAAGCCCTACAGCGGATGGCGAAGAAAATTTGGCTGGGTTCGGGGGAATGTTAAAGTGTAACGCCTCATGACTGGCTACGTAGAAACTCTATGTTAAAGGCAGATCCCTGACGTTGCAGCTTGAGGGTGATGTCAAGGGTTCAAAGCCTAAGGCTTCATGGTTGCTGCGTTTCGTGTAGCTCTTTCGCATCGAACTAGAGAACCCCTCTAACCCAACTACGAACCAGTCTGAGTCTTCTTCCGGCCATGACCCTTGAACGTAAAGCATAGAGTTGCTGAATCCACAGGAAAGCCGTAAACCTCCTACATGTCGTCCTTAGGCTGTCAAGAGAGAGATGTGAGAACCATGAAGCAAGCGGCCTCCACGCCGGAGGCCTTGTAGAAATCGCGCAGGCTCCTCGCCCCCCGAAAATTAAAGGCTACCATCACTTGGGTTGAGGGTTTGTGTTTTAAGGGCTCCTTTTCAGTCTGCATGGGGTTGAGGGTTTGGGGTTCAAGGTTTGTTTTGGACGAACTTGTTGGCCGCTCGAGGTTAGCGCAGAGCTGCGTGTGTGGGGTTGAGAGATGTTGAAAGCATAAAAGACCGCTGATGAATCACCCGCCACTCCCCCGGGCATAGGGATTGCAGCAAGCAGGATTTTACGATTCCCTAGCCGAACCGCCAAACACTAAGCCAAGCCCAAAACTCTAAACCCGAAAACCCCAAAGCCTCAACCCCAACGGAGAGTCCTCAGTGCCGTCTTCACGCCCTCCATGCCCTTCAAGGTCTCCGGCTCCTTCTTGGCGAACCTTTTGGGGGGGTCTCTGCTCGAAAGATGGAGGCTTCGGGGCTTTGGGGTTTTGGGGTTTTGGGTTGCAAAAATTGGGGTTTGGGTTTTGGGGCTTGAGATTTGGGGCTTAGGATGTAGGGCTTGAGATTTAGAGTTTTGGGGTTTCGGGTCTCCGGATTTAAGGGGCAAATACAGGGTTACGGGTTCAGAGTTTGGGGTATGAGTTGTGTCAGGGCTTGCAGGTTTCCAGGGTGTTTCAGGGCTTGGGATTTCTTGACAGGACAGGGGTCCCTTTAAAACGATCCTAGTGTTGAGAGCTAGCAGTGATTTAGGGTTTAAGGGCTGCTTTTCTGGAGTTGCTGACCCTAAACCCTAAGTTTCAGGAAAACTTTGAAGCAACTCGGATGTACCTTGTGATACGACTCGCTAGAGCCTCTAGCAACAGAGCCGCGACCCTCCAAAAAGAAACAACACAGCCGCCAAAATAACACCAAAACGGAGGGGGCATTTGACGAAGGTCTGCCTCTCCCTGTTATGCTGCGAGTGTCTCTAAGTCCTGCATTTTGGAGTTTGGGCTTGCCCCACACTCAAAGTCTCGGTAAACATTAGACCCTACGCCCTGATCCATAAACCCTGAACAACAAAAGTCAAAGACTTCCAACCTTAAACCGCCCTGGGGTTTAGGATTCTACTACAGTGGCCTTACTCATCTAACTAGGGCTCTGGGACATTGTGTACTGCAGCTATTTGGGGCTGTAGGAGGATATTATGAGTACGAAGGGTTCAGACATTTATGGGTAAGGCTCGCCAGGTTTCGGAAAGTTTGCTGCATTCATTTGGACTTTCGGGACGAATCGTCACAAAAGGTACACGGTTACAACATCATCACAAAGGGTTTAGGGTTTACGGTTTCAGGCTTGGGAAGCTCCGGCAGCCACCGAAACCCTAAACCTTCACCAGGGCCCGGGCAAGGACTTCTCTTCCTGCCGCAGCTTTGTCATGTTCGCCTGACGTGTAGTCCCTAAACCCCTAAACACCTAAACCCTAAAACCTAAACCACATGCCAGCTTTAGGACAGGGTCCACGAGGGCTTCTGGGCCTCTGGGCCAGATCTAAGACCTGCAACGACAGATGAGATGAAAGACCCTGAACCCTGAAGCCCCCTCTACAGAAAATCGCCCGGGCATCGATCGGCACACGAGGGGGCTAGAAGGGCCTAGGTCTTTACAGTTCCGGCATGTTCTGGGTGGAGGCTGCTTTATAACTTAAAGCTTCAGGGCTTCGGGTTGAATTCAGGGCTTTGGGTTGAAGGATCTTCAGGCGATGAGCTTCACCTGCAACCCCACGACGCCTTAAATCCAACGAGGCTGTCGCCCTAATCCACTTAAAACTTAAAACCCAAGCCCGAAACCCTAAACCTTCCTTCAGCCCAAACCCTCGACCATTGGATTTTGTTGCTTTTTGTGGGGGCGGCTGAAGACGGAGGGACAGGGTATCGAAGGTTTGGTCCTAACCCGAAATCTCGCACCTCGGTCTCTGCCAACACCGCCAACTCCTTGTTGATGTCGGCCTCAGAGATTTGGGGCTTTGGCTTTGCCGGTGGCTCCAAATACCTTGCATGTCGAATGGAGGGACCATAATCTACTATTCTGTCTGAGCAGGTTTCAAGCTTGTCTCGAACTCCCTGCCGAGTCGACCCTCAAACCTTAAACCAACAATGTCCCAAAGCCCGTAATCCGAAATCCGTGTTAGCCCGAAATCCCCAAGCCGTGCGCGACAAAACCAAACTGTAGCCCCAAGCCCACGATATAATACTTTATATGACCCCTGGAGTATCGGTCATATCATATCCGTTAAACGTATCGGAGCCACAGTTCATCATAACAGTTAATCAAACCCTAAAGCCCGAACCCCTTAAACCGCCAACCCCAACCCACAAACCCCCTAAAACCCTCAACCCCGGCCCTCTGAAAACCCTGGACCCTCAGTCCCAAATCGCGATACAATCCCCACAGAAAGTTTCCCAAAACCCCCGAAACCCTGATGCCCCCCGACAAACAAAAGCTCACCAACCCCCGCGACACCCTCTCAAAAAAAGCTTCAGAAACGCCCGTGAAAAATCGAACCCGAAAAGCACTGAATAAAACTCATGCTCAAAAAAAAAGCTTCCCTAAACCCTATACCCTAAACCCACACAGAGTCTGAGCCCTTTGGCCACTTCCTTCTTCAAGGAAGCCGACTTGGAGGCGGCGCTGTCGATCTTGGTGCCTTACATAATAGGAGGGGCCGGACCTAAAGGGATTAGGGTTTAGGGTTTAGGGCCGGGCCTTAGGGTTCCCTTTAAAGGGGATCCTTAAAAGGGGTCTCTAAGGGATCTTGAATGATGAGGTTCTATATCCGGGACCTTGATAATCAGAATAGGGTTCCTGTTGCAGGGTTCGTTTAAAGAGCTCCATAAGGGATCGATAATAGTTATAATAGGGTTCTATCAGATAGAGGCAGAAGGAGATTCAAAAATAGTATCGGTGATGATTTAGGCTGCTATATTAGAGGGTCTACCATCGGGGTTTCGGCCTTGTGTAGGTTTCTGTAAAGTTTTCGTTTGGATTTTATCTGCCTCTTCCGAAGGCACGCCACACCACCAGAAAACTCTAAACCCTCAACAGTAAATCCAACACCCGATGAACCCAACCAATTTCCAGACCTCGCTCGCACCCCTGAACCCCCAGAGACCGCTTCATGTGGAGTAACCCTGCCAAGCAATCCTATTCTCATCATGGAAGCCCCTATACCTTCAAACCCCATCTCATGGAAACCCTTACACAGCCTGTTTATCAAAGGGCCGCAAGAGTGCGAGGAAGCTAGGAGGGGTAATCCCAAGTAAGAGTCCTTATATCAGGGATCCTTGATCCTACCTTCATCCCACCCTTTACTCTAAGCAATATAGGGGCCTTACTAATGAGAATAGGGTTTTGGGGCCCATTATACTATAATTATAATAAGGAGCCCCCAGAATAGTTTCGGTATGCATTAAGGCCCCTATATCATATCAAACCCCAACACCATGGCTTCCGGCTCACGCTGTCCATGTCCGCCTCTTTCGTGGCCTAGCAAGTTGCACCGTTTCGGATGCACGGAGAGATTAGGGTTCAGAGTTGAGGGTTTGGTTGGGAATCTAAGTTTGGGGGTTGCAGGGTAGGTTGGCTGCAAAGTTAGAGGTTGGAGCAGGTTTGGGAGACTATAAGCCGCTTTGACCCAAATCAAACATCATATGTTTAACAAGCCCCATGGGTTTGTGCTGATACAAGTTATTCAAGGGCCTATGCTAAATCCTCAAGGTCAAGCCGCAGTCATCCCTAAACTCTATCTGAAGCAAACAACCTGTCCTCAACAAGGCAAGGTTTTTCGGTGTTCGGGCAGACTTCGGCCCTGAACCCTAAACACCCAGACTTCTAACACACAATCACCTCGGCATGACCCTATAAGGCTGTGTGCCATACCAAAGCACCCCATACGCCAATAGAGAGCGTCCCTAAGCCGAGAAAGCAATACACAACCCACCACCAGACTCTGCAAAACCCAGCAACTCAATACGACAACATAAAGATCGATCATGTATAAAGGACTGCTTGAAGCCAGAAACTGATCAACCCCGGCAGATCCCAATCAAAGCAAGTGAAATGAAATCCTGTGAAGTCTTATTTTTGGGGTCTTAACATATACTTCACATGGCTTTTGGAGGCAAACCATAGTATACCTAAACCTTGAGTCCTAAGCCTTAACCCCAAAGGAATAGAACCTAAACCCTACACGCCAAAACCCGTTCCGCACACTAAGGAACCGTATAATCTAATAAAGCCTCATACAATATGATAAGTATAACCTTAGGTCAAGCCTTCTTGTCGCTGGCTTTGCCCATCTCTGAGTCGCAGTAAGCCTTCTTCGTGGCATCTGCCTCGGCTCAGGGCTCGGAGGTGCGGGTTCACAGGGCTTTTACAAAGAGGGTTAAGTGGTTCAGGGTTTAGGGCTTAGGGTTTACGATTAAGGTTTGAGGGTGGGCTTAGGATTGACGTGTAACGTTAGCAGTTAATGTTTAGGGTTCTGAGCATTCCTTGCAAGTTTTAGGGGTTGGATCGGTTCTGAAACTTTTCATAGGATTTTGTATGTCGAGTCTTGAGCTTTTGAGTGTAGGGATTTAGGCGGCCCGATGAACGGAGTATTTATGAAACCCTATTGAGATAAAACCCTGCAGAAGCCTCGAAAACAAGACAAGTCACGCTTTGGTCAAGATGCATAAGACTTATCATGCATACCGGAAAAATGCTGCAACTACGCAACTCTACATGGAGTTTAGGCTTATGGGCTATGGAGGAATGTAACGCTTGAGATACAATACTAAACCCCCAAAACACCAAGCTGTACATTAGCAGACCCCGAAGTCCTAATCTCAAAGCCTCTAAACCCTAAACCCCAAAACAACCCGAAGCCCCTAAGCCCTGCACCCAACCCCGATCCTAAACCCCAAACTCTACCCCGAAGATCGAAAGAGTACAAATCGGCACAAACTTCTCGTAGACCCTGGATCCAAAACATCTACCTTTGCTGGGTTTTTGCGCCTACTAGTATGGTTAAAAGTCCCATGGCGGCCGCCTAGGAATCTGCCTGGTGACGGTCTCAGGTCGCCGAGAAAACTTGCGGGGGCTATCGCAGAGCCGGGCTCCATGGCTCTAACGACCGCCGCGTTTGAGAAGCCTCGTGCGTACCAAGCTGTGGTCAAGAAGCCAGTGGCCATCGAGGTGCCGCCGCAAATCGCGAACTGGAGAATCGGTCAGAACCAGGGTCAGAGGCCGGCCACTCAACATCGCACTGCCCGGGTCTGAGGGATACTCATTCTCACGAAGCCCTGACAAGGCATCCAAGACCCATACGTCTTGAGTTGCGGCGGGCACCAGCAGTGCCGCACTGGAGTTGGCATTCATCTTCGTCCAACCCCTCTAGGGTTTAGGGATTAGGGCTGGGGATTAGGTTCAGGGTTTCGAGTTTAAGCATTCTTCAAAACAGCCATGGGATGGAGTTTAGGCCTTCGGCTAGAGGTTGAGAGAACTCCGCGTGAAGATCAGGGTTTAATTAGGAAGAATAGGTTTAGGAAGAAACGGCCAAACCCTGACCGCCTAACTTTACGCCCCTAAACCCCAAAACTTTATACCCGACCTTCTCAAGAGCAGTAGACCCCAAACTTCTCAAGGTTGAACCAAAAAACTGAACCCTAAACCACCAAACCCCCAAGACCTTCAAACCCAGGAAAACCCTCACAGAAAAGACGGAGCCTGCAGATTCTCCTTCATCGTGGTGATCATGTCTGTGATCATCCTCGGTTACGGCGTTTGAAAGATTCGGGGTTTGTTTAGGCATACGACATCATACGACGTCGAAAAGCCGGAAATCAAACACAAGCCTATGATACAGAAAAGTCCGCAAGCTTTGAAAACGCTGATCGCAGCCTTTGAGAATAGTCCGAGCCGCGTCTTAATCTTCTCGAAGACGTCTGCGGAAGCCCCGGCCTGAAAGCATCGTCCCCGATTTGGATCTTCTGCAGAAGGTTGGGGCTGACGGATTGGGATTCAACGGTTGACGATTGCTGAAAAATTCGTTGGAAGGCATGAGCGCAGGTACTTGCGTACCGTATGGCACGTCTTAGTTGGGCGTTGACCTTCTTCGGGCTTACACCTGGCTCGCTCGATCAGTTCATACGTATGTGGCGCTTTGGTCGCTTCCGCTGCCGCGGCCGCTTGGTCTTGGAACAGGTCACCGGGTCCTATATGCGTAGCTCATGAACCAGGTCAGCCTGAGACCAGCCATCCAGGATGTTCCTAGGCATGGCCTGGGCTGTTTATGGGCTCCCTTCGACCCACGGGTCCGTGCACGCAGGCCCCCTCCACCACTTCTTTGTAGCCTCCCTGTGAGTTCTAGATTAGGGCTGACTGAAATACCCTAATAAACATATTGGTTATGGTACAGGGAGGTAAACATTAGGGGCCAATTCTGGATCCTACTAGTTTGGGAGGCGGGGTAGTGAAGAACCAAGGGGGTGTCTTAATCAGACCAACGCCTTACCCGGAGCCCGAAAACCCTCAACTGCAAGGTAGAGACCTTGAATGATTGGAACATTCGTCTGGGGGACTAGGGAACCATAAAGAACAGTATTACTACTACCACGGCTTCTGCACCCAAAACCCCGAAGCCCAAAACCCAAACCCCAAAACCCAAAGCTCACAGCCCTCACCCCTTCGAAAACCCGTAGCCCACCTCCGTGCGCAGCATGGAGTCCATGCGCCTTTCTTGTTACTTGGGGCTTCTACTCGGCTGTTCTGGGAGGCACCTTTGAAAGACGGTGTAGGGTTTAGGGTTTAAGATTTGGTGTTTCGTGTTCCTTCTGAGGGGATGTAGGGCTTTGAAGCTTACAGATACATCCCACAGCCTGGCCCTTGGCTTTGCTTTGGGGTGTCGGCTGAGGCGTCAAGCCGTTCGAACGTCGTAAAGTTTAGGGCTTAGGGTTTTTGTTAAAGCAATCCCTTCGTACCGGGTGCACGGTCTCAAAGCGCCCGTTGACAAGTGGCGGACCGTAAATGCCGAACCTGAAAACTCCAAACCCTATCGAAACCCTGAATCCGAAACCTTAACATTTAAAAGTTCAACCCTGAGCACCAAAAATCTCAATCTCGAACACTTCATCCGTAAAGCTCAAAACCCTGCACGGCGAATCGCTAAACTGCCCTGCCCCAGGACCTTAAACCCTACATCGTGAACCCCATCAGACAAACTCCCCGAAAGATCATACATCCTGAACCCTCAAACCTCTAGAAAATGCAAGTCGGAGAATGCTAAAAACCTAAACCCCAAGCCCCTTCGGACGTGCCTTGAGAGCAGCACCAGCTGGTGGTCTCCAAGCTTCTGGCCGAGGCTACGGACCAGGCGCACCACCTGTCAGGTGCATTTTGCTTATAACTACCATAATATCGGGGCCTTAACAATTGGAATTGGGTCCTGGTGCCATTCTACTACAAGTAGACTAGGAACCCAAAAATAGGCCCCTATAGTATACCTTAAACTACCATAACCTACTTGTTTGTAGGTTCTGACTGTAAACCCTAGTATAGAACTTATAGGGACCCCACAACAAGGTCTTGATAGGTGATAGTCGTCATAGAAACAGTAGCACCAATAGTAATAGTCGCACCAATAACAGCAATCGAAGCAACAGTAGCAGTAGCTCCACAGAAGTAGCAATGATAATAGTCATGAAAGTATTGATAGTAATGATAATAACCATAACAAGACTAGAAATTGTTGTAGTGACAGTGACGATAGTATAAGTGCTAAGAGTCGTAAGGCTTTAGCTTTACATAAGGGCCAAGGCTTTTGGGCTTTAAGGCCTAGAGGGAGTTCGAGCTTCAAAGTTAGAGGTTTTGGGTTGAGGAGTTAAAGCTTCAGGTTCTTTTCGGTTCCGGCTATCTAGATGCATGCATAAATATGTTATATACATACATGTACATGTTGCTGCGGTACGGCCGAAAAACCTCCTTCCGCAAGGTTGAGGGTTTGAGGTTTGCTGCGCGCGTGCGGCTGTAAGCCCTTCCCTGCAGGCTCGGGGCTACAATCTAACTGTATTGTATTGCTGGCGATTTCCTGAAAGCCCAAGAAATATGCTGCGACCAGAACCCTGCACACTTTAGCCCTACAACCTAGACCTTGAAAATTCTGCACCTCTTTGCCTCTAAAGCCTGCAGATCCCAAGGACCTCAAGCCCGACAGGGTGCCTCGAAGTGCTTCAAGTCCTGGCTGTTGCGGATGGAGGACCTGGCCAGCAAGGGGTTGGGAATGTGAGGCTGAGGGGTCTAGGGCTCAGCAGGTCAGGGCTTCGGGGCTTACGATTTACGGCCCAGACCCTTAGGGGTTTTAGGGCATGTAGGACTTAGGCACTTCGGATTTCGGGCTCCGGGGGCGATGTTATCAACTATAGGCAAGGGTTTAGGGGTTTGGAGTTTCATGAACTATAATTAAGGGTTTATGGTTTAGGGTGGAGGGTCTAGAGTGTTATGAAGTACAATTACGGGGTTCAGAGCTGCAGGTAGGGTCAAAACTTGTAGCCAGCCAACAGCAGCCTGAAAGCGATGCGAACCTGAATTCTACTAGGTCAGAGAATGCGAGTTGCATCATCACAAACCGCTGACAAAGACACCTGTCCATCCTGATGGAGAACACCAAATCGCCACATCCCTGCCAATCGCTCAACCGACGAAAGAATCGCAGTCAACACGGCGGCAATAGGATTTCCCGTGCTTTGGTTTGGGGCACGGGCGCGAGGGCTTCCTATGCGTCGATTTCAACAGCCTGATGAACCAACAAGAAGTTGAAAGATACTCGGTTTAGGATCTAGTCTATAGGGTGTCAGAATTGGCGGTAACTTGGAGCAAGAGCAAAGATGGGTTTACAACAGGGCATCCCCTTTTGGGTTGATGATTGAGCAACTAAGCTTCGACAGGAACTTCAGGAATCATCCTCAAACCCCATACTCTACACCCTGCACACCTGAACTAAACCCTCAATCTACATGCAATGCAGAACCCGAAGAATCCTATTTAGACTGAGAATCAGGGGTTAGGATGTAGGAGTTTAGGGGTTTAGGGTTTGATGGCGTCGGGTTTTAGGGTTTAAGGGATCAAGGAGCAGGCTTTGGGAGCCAGGCCGGCAAACCCTGCAACGAAAGTCTCTTCGGTTTTCTGATGCTGTCCATTCGGGCGCAGGTCTGTGCAGCCTACCTTGGCAAGCTTGTGTTGCACTCCGACAGCCTCATGAAGACAAAGGGGTGGCTATGGTAAGAGCCCGAACCGATATCAGCAAACCCAAACCTTGCATGTACCGGAATGCCAAGGTTTCAACTCCAAACTCTTCCGCGTTTATGTATGCCTTTGTATGAAAGCAAATTCATGGGAGCGCATAAAGTCCTCATATCCCAAGCCCACCCTCCTCGTCCCCTCGAGGGAACGTTCTATCAGCCCGACACCAAGCCGCAGCTACCGGTTGTCTCGAAATCGGCCCCTCCTCATGAAGTCGTTGTCGTCGTCTCCACCTCTTACTCTATAGGCTTTTGAGAGGAACCTGTCCAGGTTTAGGAGGAAGGAAACTTGTGCTTTAAGGACCCACCGAGTCTGGGGGGCCTCGGGTTTTGGGGCCTTCTGGGCTTCGGGGAGGCCACGTTCGAGCCCCCAGAAGTTGAAGCAAAAGAAAAGCGCCTCTCAAGCAAACAAAAACGAACAACCTACAACCCAAAACCCGGAACCCTCATACTGAAGCCCCTTTGACCCCAGGAATCCCTGCAAAATCAGATAAAAACCAACAAACCCACATCCCAACGCGAAAACACACGACAAACGCATGCGAAACCTCATGAGATCCCTTTGAAAACCCTACAATAACACTGTATACCCGCAATATTCTAAATCCCACACCCTAAACCCTAAACGTCTAATTATGTAAACCCCTAAACCCTAAACCACCTGAACCCTAAACCCGAAACCCTAAATCCATAAGCCCTTGGCAAAACCAATGTTTGGAAGCCCAAGGCAAGTCCTCGGCCCGAGCCGAACTGTGTGTGCGAGCTTCCTCCGGGGTTGATCCGCCGAACCTGGGCTTCAGAACGGTTTCGGGATCGGGGTTTAGGGTTGGGAGTTTAGGGATTGCGGCTTAGTGTTTCGGGTCTAGGGTTCTAGAGTTCAGAATGTAGGGTTTAGGGTTCTGACTTCATGTCTGAATCTTCGTTGAAGGAGCAGAGGGTTCAGGGTTTGGGGTTTAGGGAATTTATGGGGAGTCAAGGGTTGCGTAACAATTAACAAGAATGAGGTTTCTTTAAGGGTTCCTTGAAAGGCTCCTTGAACGGTTCCTTTAGAGGGATCTACAAGGGCTTCAACAGTGGCTTAGGAGTACGGGGGCCTTAGGAATTAGAATAAGGGTTTGCACAATGCTATGCTATAAGTATACCAGAGTATAGAACCCTGAAGGGCCTTGTCTAGGGATATTGCTTTTTTCGGTCCTCCGAACTCGAGCTTCCGGTTCCCTCAAAGGGTCAAAGGGTTGAGGGTTTGGGCTCCGGGGGTTGCGGAGCTAGGGCTTAGGCTGTTTATGCCGTTCGGCAACTTTTGAGAGGCCAAGGTTTTCAGGAATCTGCTTCGATAGGACTGCATTGCATGGGATTCGTCGAACCAGGCTTGGAGCAAGAGGCCTGGAGGGTTCTGTATAGGCTTTTCATGGTTATATAGATCCTCCCACAGCGGAAATCCGCCCCACCCCACCCCCCCGACCCCAAGGTGTGATCAAACTCTAGCAAGACGCATTGCTTCCTGTTCCGCCTCCGCCGGACCCACCGTCCTGTCAGACACGGTTCGAGGTTTCGGATTTAGGGTTTAGGGTAAGGTTTCCCATGGCGTTGTAGAAGAGTTCCGGAAGAGGTGTTGTCAGCTTTGCATAAGAGGTTCGATGGCTTGCAGAGGGTTTGGGGCTTGTGCTTCCGCAATCCACACTCTTCGGTGTTTTCAGTTCTCTTACATGTTCGGGGTTGGGAGTAGGGCGTGAGACTTGTAGGGTTTAGAGTCAAAGGTTTAAGGGCTCAGAGATTTAGATCCGTGCGGCGGCATCAGGAAAATCTGCAGCAAGTTTCAGAAAGTTTTTCCTTTCCAAACTGAAATGCTGCAAATCATCGCCAAGCGCGCAAGAAACCCCTGGACCTGAACTGAAGCCTTGGCGCCTTTACACCCCAAGCACTAAACCCAATACACCCCTAAACACAATAAACCCCTACACCCCTAAACTAAATCCTAACCCTAAACTCCACACCCTAAACCCCTGAACCCCTAAACTAAATCCTAAACCCAAACTCCACACCCTAATCCCTGAACTCTCAATCACTTCTTGAGCAAACGACTCCACAGCGACAGGCTCCCACAACAGGCCTTGCCCGCTGCAACGCTCGGGTCTTTGGGCATGAAGATGGTGGAGAAGAATAGCCTGAGTCTTAGTCTTAAGATCTTGTTTAAGGTTCAGGGTCTCAGGGTTTAGGATTTTCAGGTTTTCTACTAGTCTCAAGATCTAGCATAGGGTCTAGGAATCTAGGGCTTGGGCTATAGGGTTTAGGGGTTCGGGGTTTCAGGATTTAGGGATGAGGGGTCAGGGTTTCGACCAAGATCTACTTACTTCGCAGCTGAAAGGTTCAGGGATAGTTGTGGAACCCTAAGACAGGCACAAGTTGAAATTATCGCATATTGGCCTGACTGCAATGTTAACATAATATACCCCACAGCCATGATGTAGTCGCTATGGCCCCTATCTATCTATCTATCTATCTATCTATCTATCTCGCTCCCTCTCTCTCTCTCTCTCTCTCTCTCTCTCTCTCTCTATATATATATATATATATATATATATATTAATTTTGATACAATAACCCCAAGCCCTATACCCCACAAGCATACTATAGTCATCAAGGCCCCTATATTTACCCGTCAACTCTCAAGCAGCAGTGCGGCCTTGGAGCGCTTCAAAGCATGAGGGAGGAGAAAAGGGTGCCAGGGGCGTTGTGGTGAATAGAGGGGCCTTAATGACTAGAATAAGATTTTGGGGCGTATTCTAATAAGGACCCCCCCAAAATAGTATAGGTAATTACTTAGGCCCCTATATTAAGGGTGTTTCGTGGGTACTATGGATTTCCGACTTTCGGGCTTAGGTTTCGGGCTTAGGGCTCAGGGTTCAGAGTTCAAGGCTTCGGGTTCAGGGCTGCTTCCGAAGAGCTTTGTACCTTCAATCTATCTGCATTCCGAATTGAGTGGCTGGTTCCGTGTGTGTTACGATTGGGAGGTAAGTGCAGTTTTGACGAACTTGTCCGTGAGATCCGGACCCTAAACCCCAAAACCCATGTAGAAGCCAAAAACCCTCGAAGGAACCCTTGAGTATAATGAGGGGACCCTTAAAGGAGCCTTTGTAGCCCGAAAGAATCCTTCGACGGGTCACTTTATCACGGCCCAGATCTTCTGTAGCCAGCCACTCACAAAGCCAGTGGGACCCGGCGCGGGAGCGGCACGCATGGCTCTCTCGAAGCTTGAAGCCTGTAAACCTCAACCCCTACGCCGCAAAGGCCGTAAGAATCTCTAGGCCCCAAGCCCTCAAAGAAAAGCTAGATCTACAGCGGCTGGATGTTCGGAGGCTCGTTGAGAAGGCTAGGACGCACGAAAGCGTCTCTCACTTAGAGCAGGCATGTTTTACTGTCTTGGGTAGTATTATCCTTGCGGTGCGGTCCGTATCCCTTGACTCCTTGGATATATAACTGTTGAGATTCCAGCCGAAATAAGAACGTACCAGGTCAGATGCCAGCAGACCAGACCAAAGAGGTTGGGCGCGTCCTTAAGATTTGGTACGACTCTTTTCTGTTGACCCATTGTCGGTTTACCTTCGTCCCGAAGATCAGACCCCAACCTGTCATTGGAGTTTGAATGTTACCGAAAGATCTTCCGGACCCACGCAAGCTAATCGTGACACTGCTGAGATGGACTCCTCATTCCGGAAGCCCCCGCAGCCAAACGCGTACAAACCCAGTTGTAGCGCTTGATGCGCAAACTCCCCGAGTCCTAAACCCCAGAACCTAATCCCCAAAACAACCCCACTGATTTTCATGTATGCAATCAAGTCCCAGAAAGAGCCCTCGAGCCCTGAAACCAGAGAGCCCCAGATTCCCAGATCCAAAATCCACAAAACCTGTAAAGCAGCATAGTAGGTTTGGGGTATAGTAGGTTTGGAGTATAGTAGGTTTAGGGTGTAGTAGGGCTAGGGTAGAGTAGGCTTGGGGTACAGGGGTCTAGGGTTTACGGTGTCGGTTTTTTAAAAACTTGGTTGACGGCCTCCTTTGCGCGCCTGACCGAGTCGGCTCCTAACTAGGTGTCATGTGCTGCAGTGTTGCACTTAGAAATGCTGCCCTCGTAGACCGGTGTCGGGTTTGGGTTACAGAGTTCAGGGTTTCGGGTTCTGATTGTCGTATAGAACCCTTATCGAACTTCTTTTGCACCCTTGCAGCCGCATAGCCCTAGTAAGCCCCAAATCTTGAACCCAAAAAGCCCTGAGGCCTGTCGTGGACCTGCTCCAGCTGCAGGAAGGACATCCCTGTAGACCCTACTCGGGTCTCTAAAGGGGTTCTGGAAAGGATCCTATATAGGGTTTCTACAGGGGTCTCCCAAGTCTGTAGCGCTGTATCCAATAAGTAAAGAGCCATAGCCTGCTATGTTGAAGCGTCTGGGCTTTTGGGCTTGTCGATTTGGTGCTTTGAAAATTGGAGTTTTGGTGTGTTGGGCAAGATAACCTCCTTTTATTGAAGACCCAAGCCGTTCGACAGGGGAGATGACCCCACCCTAAACAGTAAACCATAAAAGCCTCACTCAACCGTCGAACCCCAAACCCCAACCGCCAGTCACAGCACCTTAAGTATGGGAACAAAGACTCTCAAAAGCCACCTCCTATTTCCGAAACCCACCACAAAAAAACAGAGCTCTTCTAAACAACTCCTACACTCCAATAGAATACTTTCTAGACCCATTAGAAGAACCACCCTGAATGGAAGAGGTCTCGTGTACCTGCATACGGACAATGCTATAATTCCATTGCATGCCTACCAGGTATCTTCCACTTTAGGACAATAGCCGTAATTAATTGTTGTGTGGCCTTCGCAAGAGCCAATCAAGAACCCCTCTAAATGAAGAAACGCACAGAAACCCCGCCTAACCCCTCCTAAAAAACCGCCCTCGACCCTACACTGCCCTAAATTTTAATCCCTACACTGTAAGGGACCTGCACTCGAACCCTTAAACCTCCCTTAAACCCCGAAACGCCGAAACTCTTCCTAGAACCGCTGGTTGAGCTTCGCACCGGAGGACTCCATCAGAGCCGCCTTCGCCGTCTTCAAGGCCTCCGGAAGGCTGAAAAAGCTTTGGTTTAGGGCTTGGGGTGCAGGGTACGTAAGGTTTAGGGTTTGGGGTGTTTCGGGTTTAGGGTTTAGTGTCCAGGGTGTAGGGCTTCGGGTTGCGGGTGCAAACCTGAAGTGGGCGGGCGCACCAAGTCCTTTTGATGGCCCTGCGGCTGCCTCCGAGAGCCCTTCAGGGGCCTAGCCACCTTGTTAGGAATGCCTTATTTGCTCAAGGTCTTCACAGGAGTGCCAGCGGATGCCACGGCAGCAACCGCATCAACCCGGGTTTGGGTTTGGGAATTAGGATTTGCACCAGCATGTGTTTGGATGCTGGTCAGACTGCGAGATGGCATCTTGCATGTCATGCCTTGCGTTAGCTCATCCCGGAGTCCTCTGAATGCTGCCATGGACTGCCGAGAATATCTATATCATACAGTCTGCTGCATGCTCAGCGAAACACAAACCTGTACATCACTACGGGCCGCCAACAGGTGCAGCACCTTCTGGTCGCCTCTGGTATGAGGCATGCTGGGAGACCCTGTCCCGCATTTTGGGCTTCTGGATTTCGCAACTGGTTTAGGGTTTCTCTTATGTGCATTAGGAGCTTTAAGGATTTGAGGGTCCAGGGTACGGCCTGCATTTAGGTTTTACGGCGTATCCGCCTTCCCCGGCCGATTTAAGCTTGGGCATTTTGGTGTTTCGAGACTATCCTACTTAGATGGCCAGGGCACCTTGGTAGAGGTATATACATATTGCAAGCACAGCAGATACACATGTGAGCAAGACCACACTAACTAAAGCGGTCCGCTCAGTCAAATGGGTTAGACCGCAAGTTCAGCCGCGAAACCAACCAGAAAAAACATGCAAAACCATAAGCCCTAGACCCCCACAACCGTGAATCAGAAAACCCCTTAACCCGAAATTAAACCCCCAAATCCCCCAAACCCTAAACCCTCTACTCGTAGTACCCCAAAGCCATGAAACCCCTGCCCTCAAATACCCGTAAATCCCCTACACCCGACACCCTGAGCCCTGGAAATCCCTACACTCCCTGTTGCCTCCATCTCCAAAGCTCGACTCTTTGTCTCGTCCTCGTAGGCCGCGACCTCCACGAGGCTTTGCAGTAAATCGGGTTCAGAAGTGTTTAGGGCTTATGGTTTACAGTTAAGGAGTACGTAGGGTTCGGCAAGGGCTTACAGTTTGGGGCATAAGTAGGGATCTGCTTAGGGCTCGGCTTTCAGGGCATGAGCAGGGTTCTGTTTGGGTTTACGGTGTACTCCAAAAGTAAGGTTCTGTGTAGCGGTTCCGAATTTAGGGCTTGGAGCATAAGTAGGGCTCTCTTTAGAAACTGGTTTTGGGTCAGGGGTTTAGAGCTAAGGGATGGGGGTTTGGAGTTTAGGGTTTTTTTTGGAGTTTAGGGTTTGAGGCTCAGGGTTTAGGGTGTAAAGTGTTGATTCGAGCTTAATGCTTCTTTCACAGTATAGGGTTTAGGATTTAGGCTTCAACATGTCGGGTGCAAAGCACATGGTGTAGGGCTTCCGTCTCGGAATTCTCGGAGCTCCCAGCGGAAGCCAGAGATACCAGCTTTAGGCTTTAGGGTCTAGGGGGCTACAAACTATGGCCCGGAAACGCCACATGACCACGAGGATCCCCTACTTGGGGGTGGAGGTCTTTTTGTTCAACGGACGTCTCTAGCAAAACCTAAACTCGTATACCGCGTTTAGGGTTCTAGGCGTAAGAGTTTAACCAGGTTAGGGTGTAGGGCGCTAGGTTTTTTGGTTCTGGAGCCACATCCTTCGTGCTTGGGGATCAGGTGAGCCTTGACTTGTAAACCCGCAAACCCCAAAGCTCCAAAACTCCCAAAAACCATGAAAACACTAAACGCCCTAAACCGCTAAACCCCCAAAAACAACGCTGAAAAAGACTGGCAGTTATAAACGTAAGAACCCTAAAGACGGCGTATCCCGGACCTCCTGTTGGCAGTCAGCCACGAAGTCGCCTGGCAGTGCAACATGTTCGGCCGAAATCCTCGAGTATAGGCCCAAGCCTTTGGGGCTTGGGGTTTAGGACCTTTGGGGCCCTTGGTAAGGGGCTTTAGGGTTTGGGGTTTTGGGTTTGGGTTTAGGCTTTATGGGTCTTGGTACTTGGAAAAGGGTTTCTATGAGGCTGCTTCAATGGCCTCCTTTGAAGGGTGACAGGATTGAGCTTCGGCTTCCTTATTATCTTGGGCCTATGTCGCTTCCGGGTGTAAGACTTTGCGAGAAGCTGCTAACGTGACAAAATCCCAAAGCCCTAAACCCTGAACCCTAAGCCCCCCAAACCCAAACCCCTAAACAGCTAAACAGCCCCACCCGTCAAGATGCCAGAGCACCTAAAGGCCCGTCCCGGAGGCTCCAAAAGCCCTTTAGTGTTTAGGGTTAGTTTAGTACTTAAGGTTTGGGGTTTAGTGTTCAGGGTTCAGGATTTAGGGTTTAAGGTTTAGCACAACATTGAAAGGATGCTTGTTGCAAGCAACGAGTTCGGGGTTTATGGTTCCCCGACAAACATCGGAACAGCACACCTCGAACCCCTGTTATTATGACTTCCTCATCATGGCTACTCGATCCTTAAATGCCTTCATTGCACCCTCAACCCCTTATCCCGGAGCCTGATCTGCACATATGTGGCATGCGCATGCGCATGATAGCCCGTAAGCATGGGACCTCCCGACCCCGTCAGACCGTAGACCTGAACCCCGAACCCAAAATCCTGAACCTAATCCTTAGACCTGAACCCAGACATGCTAGACCCTAACCCCTAAACTCAAACCCTCCGAGCTCAGACCAGTCACTCAAGGTCTGCTCATCCTCGGCCAGCGAAATTTTGGTCAGCTGGAGATCCTCATCCAGAAGAGGGCTCACGGCTTACGGTCCGATTTAGGGCTTATGGCCGTGCTTGTGGCTTAGGTTTACGTTTACAAAGCTGTTGTAAGCTTGTTGCAATGCATTGGATCCCTTTATAAGTGCATATCTATCATGGACTCCCTTGCAGGAGCCAAGATAATAGCAGTGCTACAATCTGCAAATGCACTGAAGACCCATTACGTAGCCCTCCCACCACCACTCCCGATGCTAGGTTTCCTGTGGCTTGTGATGCCGATGATGATGGTGCTGCTGGTAGTGTTGGTGAGTGCTGTTGATGCTGGTGGTGCCGGTGGCGCTGGTGGCTGGTGGGGCTGGTGGGGCTGGTGGGGCTGGTGGGGCTAGTGGGGCTGGTGGTGCTGGGGTGGGGTGGCTGGCGGGGTGGCGTGCTGGTAGTGCTGGTGGTGCTGGTGCTGCTGGTGCTGCTGGTGCTGCTGGTGGTGCTGGTGGTGCTGGTGGTGCTGGTGGTGCTGGTGCTGCTGGATCTGCTGGAGCTGCTGGAGCTGCTGGAGCTGCTGGAGCTGCTGGTGGTGCTGGTGGTGCTGTTGGTGCTGGTGGTGCTGGTGGTGCTGGTGGTGCTGGTGGTGCTGGTGGTGCTGGTGGTGCTGGTGGTGCTGGTGGTGCTGGTGATGCTGGTGGTGCTGCTGGATCTGCTGGTGCTGCTGGATCTGCTGGAGCTGCTGGAGCTGCTGGAGCTGCTGGAGGTGCTGGTGGTGCTGGTGGTGCTGGTGGTGCTGGTGGTGCTGGTGGTGCTGGTGGTGCTGGTGGTGCTGGTGGTGCTGGTGGTGCTGGTGGTGGCTGGTGTGGTGTGTGTGCTGTGTGGCTGCTGGTGGTGCTGGTGGTGCTGGTGGTGCTGGTGGTGCTGGTGGTGCTGGTGGTGCTGGTGGTGCTGGTGGTGCTGGTGGTGCTGGTGGTGCTGTGCTGGTGGTGCTGGTGGTGCTGGTGGTGCTGGTGGTGCTGGTGGTGCTGGTGGTGCTGGTGGTGCTGGTGGTGCTGGTGGTGCTGGTGGTGGCTGTGTGGTGCTGGTGGTGCTGGTGGTGCTGGTGGTGCTGGTGGTGCTGGTGGTGCTGGTGGTGCTGGTGGTGCTGGTGGTGCTGGTGGTGCTGGTGGTGCTGGTGGTGCTGGTGGTGCTGGTGGTGCTGGTGGGGTTGGTGGGGTTGGTGGGGTTGGTGTGTGCCACGTGACTCGCGGTGTTCCTGCAGCAAAAGTGGAAACATCCGAGAGGAGAAACCAGGACCAGATGATGCCCTGCGAGTTGCAGGGTCGGCAACATGAGCCGCTGATGCTACTGCATCATGGAATTGCCTTGCTCATCGCTGGTGCGCCCCTGAGTTGTCATAAACCCCGTCTGGAGGAGACGAAATTCTGATGATGCTCATGACGCGGACTGCGTCCCATGCCCCTCCGCCAAATGATGCTCATGATGCTGCCCTTACCTGGCCCTTTGGCGCAGCGATTGAACAATCCTTACCAAGGCATTGAAGTGGGCCTGAATCCCCCCTAAGCCTTAGGGAGAGGTCCTGAGTTAAGGAATAATAGCTCTATCAATTCTGCTGGTTGACAAGATTTCCCAAGGGCTCTGGAGTTTACGAAACCCCTACCTTCCTAGCTGCCATATACCCTAAACCCTCACCTTCAAGCCTGACCCCAGCACTGTACACCCTGAAACCTAAACCCCAAACCAGATACTTTGTCCCCCCAGGAGCACTACCAAGTCAAGGAGATCACTGCCCCTGAGTTTAGCACCCACCCGCCCTTCTTGGAGCATTGTGTAGACTCTAGACCTGTTGGACCGTACAATGACCCGCTCTACACAGAAAGGCCCGTAGGTTTATCACCTTTACACGGCATCCACAACAAAAAACCGAACCCTAACCCTCAAATCCTAACCCCAAGCCCGCAGGGGCACTCTTCAGTTCCTCTCCTTGTCCGCCTCGGCCTTGCTTCGGGACTGCTCGGCCTGGATCGGGCACTGAGGAGAGCACATACCAGGTATTGTAGATTCGAATCATATAGGGTTTGGGCTTTAGGGTTTAGGGCTGTATATTCGGATTAGGGTGTTTAGGGTAAAGTCTTGCGGTATGTTATACTAGAAACTTCTCGAGAAAAACATTGGTTTATACTGCTTCCCCGATGCCCACGGAACTAAACACCAAAACCTTGCGGAATCACGATAAGTCTATACCAATCCCAGGAGTTTATCAAAAAAGTCTGGTATTGGAAAACTGAGACAATGCTGTTTTGTGTGGCAGCACATCCTATCGCTGAACCTCAACCTAAAGCTTTCAACACCTAAACCCAAGAGAGAGGACGACCCTAGACCCTAAACCCTGAACTGGACCCTATCCTGACCCGGCCCAAGTCGCCTTGATCTTCTGTGCTTTCTCTAAGGACTTCTTGGCAAAACCCATTTCGTCCTGCTTGATGCGGTGACGGGACTTTGGAGATGTCCGCTTCTTAATTTGGGGTTGTAAGCGGTTTCATACATACAGCTTGGCTTTGGGAGTTTGAAGGTTGTTGCAGTTTCGAGGCCAAACGGCGACAATAAGGCGTCTGCCAACCACAAATACAAGTCATCTCAATCCCACGATTGTTAGAGGATCAGCGCACTTCGCAATTTGGTCAAAAGTCAGGCTGTGCGTACCCTAACGCGACTTGCTCTATACTCATGACTCATAACGAGCCAACCCACCAAGCGTGTACGAGGAAAGCTCAACCATGAACCGCTCAACCACACAACGTAGAACTCGTAAGCTTCAACACTCAGAAGAAAAGCTAGCATACACTTGGGAGTTTCCGAAAATAAGGGGACCCTCATACAGTAGCCTAAATAGTAGGATCCCTATTATAAGGACCCCCTAATTTTCTGAAACTCCCACTTCGCTGATGTCAGGAATCTCAGGCCCTGGCATCTTCACTCTGGCCCGAAGCCCGAAACTCTAAGACTCCCCCAACCCTAAACTTACCTTTGGGTAGTAGGGAATGGAGGAATGAGGTACGAGTATAACTACTATTACTACCATTCTTCCGTTCCCTACTAACCAAAGGTAAGTAAACCCCAACCCACATTGCGAAAGCCCGACAGAAGGACCGCAGGGATTAGGGTTAGGGTTTTGGGACTCCTCTGCAACCCCAGCATGAAAACGCCGCTCCTAAGCACAACACATAACCTGCGAACCAGCACCTCCACAAGATCTGATCACCGTTACAGAACCCTTTGAAGGGATCCTGCTACGGAACCCTCATGCTGCAAACCCTATTCTGATCACTCTGGCCCCGAAGGAGTCCTTCAGGGCCTATGAACTCTGAACCTGCCACCAGCAAGCCCATACCAACAAAAACAGCACTCCCACTAACCGAGAACAGCATTCCGCATCCCGAAGACTAAGCAACTACGCCAACTGGCCTGATAAAGGAGCCTCAACGGTTGGAACAGTGCGTTGTAAATTGTAGCACGATCTCTCTAGCTCTCCCTGTCTCTCTCTCTCTATCATTATCTGTCCTCTCTCTCGCTCTCTCTCTTTCACTCTCTCACTTTCTCTCTCTTTCCCTCTCTCTCTCTCTCTCTCTCTCTCTATCTCTCTCTCTTGCTGGCTTGAACCTCTCTCTCTTTCTCTACAGAACGGGGGACCCTGGGCGTGCACGTCTTGGACGGTTTTATGGCTTGCAGCCAACTCCGAAACAGACACCAAAAGAAACAAAAATGCCAAAACAACCCAAAGAGCCAAAAAACCTGTTCTGCTTTGTTCCGCTGAGCTGGTGTTTCTGTGTGGTTTTGCATTTTGGGTGTTGTTGGTTCATTTGTCCTACTGCGCGCGTTCCCGAGCTGACCGCAAGCAATACAACCTCCAAGAACACGCACGCCCGGGACGGGTGCAACACAGAGACGGACAAGGCACTCTCACGGAAAGGGCGCTCGTAGATATTCATATGTAGACATGTGAATACTGCGGGTGGTCTGGTTTCTATACTGTAGCATTGTCACCCTTGTAGGCTAACCGGCATCCGCGGGCAACACCGGTCAACTACTTATTGAACTTCGTTTGTATTGTAATAGCTACTATGCCTCTGATGATGTGTACTATCACTATTGAGTTTGTGCCTGTAAGTATACAGACAAATACTAATGTACAGATATGTCTTGTAACTTTTTCAGATTGCATGCAGAAGCTTTTCATACTACTGTTGATGATGTTGTAGGCTTGTAACTAGGAAATACATGTTTACAGATGCTTAATCCTGAACTAACAGCAAGTGTGGACGTGCATGGATATGCGTATGTGTAGGAAATATCTGCACTGATATATACATGTAGATGTATCCATATATGAGTACTTGTGTTTAAGATGTATGTGTACACCGATATACTGAAGTATCCTTAAAATGTCAGTAGTGGTGTGTACACCTAACCATTTTCTAATTCGTAGGACTCTTCAAGGAGCCTTTCAGAATCACCAAGAATCCTAGACCCTAAACCGTAGTAGGACCCTTAAAGGAATCCCTTAAAGCAGTCCTCCAGGGACTGCTTCACCATCTCGAAGCTGTGCTTTGCCTCGGACTCCTTGCGGCGCAGCTCACGGACCTGGTCCTCGCAGGCTTTTTTAAGTTGGTTCAAGGTCTTGTTTCGGTCTTTTAAAGTTGTTTTGGTGTGTTGTTAGGGCTCTTAGTGTGATTATTTTTCTTAATATCAAGGTTTCGCTTGGGCCTTTCAAGTTTGTTTGAGTGTGTTGCTAAGGCGCTGAGGGCGCATAGGGTGTTTGGTGTTGTTTTACACTTTAGGGATCTATGAGGCTTAGTACTGGCCCTACAAGGGATCTGTATGGCTTCAGGGTTAGGGGCTTAGGGGTTTAGGGTTTAAGAGATTAGGGTTTGAGGTTTTAGGATTCTTTTCGTTTTCGGGCTTTAGGGGTTTAGGGCTTAGGATTTAGGTTTTGGGAGTTCGGATTTAGAGTTGCAGGTTTAGGATTTAGCATTGAAGGTTAAGGGGTTCAAGGGCTTAGGGATGTAAGGTTTGTGGCTCAGGGTTTAGTGTCACGTGTATACAAGTGATTCCAAAAAGTGACTCATCAGAAAATGGTTTATGGGGCTTGGGCTTGTAGCTAGCTGTTTGCATTCCGGTCATGTATGAGATTTCCTGCAGGTTCGCGCCATGATTGATCAAGGTTTGTGCCGGTTCATGCATTATTGAACTTTCCAGGTGTTTGTAGTTTCAGCTTTGGGGTTTCTGTAAGTATAGAGTCTAGAGGAATCAGGGTTGAAAGAATAGAACCGTAAATTCGTCTGCCCCCATACTGCTGTATGTCCTTTTGGTACACTCGCATATTGGTCGCATGGACGTGTAGTCGCATCCATACGTCAGTACCTTGAGACGTAGCAAGAATAGTCACTTATGAAGTTCGTGAACTGTATCAGTCTCTGCCAGTTTATCAGCATCCTTCTACCATCCGCGGACCTCCTAAACCCTAAACCCGAGACCACGGTGCCTTCGACTTGTCCAGCATGTCTTCCAGCATCTCGATCACGCCGCCACCTGGGCTGCGTCTTGCTGGCCGGACTGAGGAAGAAGGGTTTAGGATTAGGGTTTAGGGGATTAGGGTTAGGGGTTCAGGGTTTAGGGCCCAGGGCTCAGGGCCTGTATATACCTGAAAAACCGAATGCGCTACACCCTATAGTGTCTCCTGAAACCCTCCACTCCAGAATCCCGAAACACCTAATCCACGACGAGAAAGCTTTGCTTTTGAGGCGGCAAGGGCATAGGCAAGAAATCCGAAGAAAGCCCATCAAAAGGGCCTTGTTGCAGTACTTGGAATCAGGCTGTCTAAGACTATAAGGATGCATCTGTATTCGTTATGCAGAAGTAGGCTGTAGTACAACAAATTTCTGAAGGCATACGTCTCGCTCAGACTTGGCCGCAATGAAGACAAAGCGACCAGGAGTTACAAACATGTGCTCCCTAAGCCCCAGACCCTGAACCCTCAACCCTAAACCCTAAATAATAATAATCATAATAATAATAATAATAATAATTACTATTATTATAATTAAAATAATAATAATAATAAGAATAAAATAATAATAATAACTAAACAACCCTGTAAAGGCTCCTTTATTGTGGCAAGCAAACCCTCCCGCCCGAAGCTCGAAGCCCTCAACGATCCGAAACCAGAAGCCCTTAGCGCTTCGGGTTTGAAAAGTCTAGGGTTGGGGCAGACTTCTGGTACATATAGACATCCATCCACTCAGGGCAATATTTCGTGGCATTCTCTTCTTAATTCTCCTGGAGGAAGAAGGGTCGGTTTACAGGTCAGCAACCCTAAAACCCTAAATCCCTCACAGTCCAATGGAACCCTGAAAGCAACCATAAAACCCCCAATCCCAAACCTTAAACTTAAACCTCAGAAGCCCAATAAAACCCTCAAAGCAACCCTATAAGGAACGTTTCGGAGATTACGGCTTTGCTTTTGAGGAGGCTTGGGGCATCTTAGAGCTCTATTTGGGTCGTCGTCAAAATTAGGGTCCCTTCTTGGGTCCTTATTGAAGTACGGCACCTAATATTTAGGGTACCCAAAAAGGGGCCCATAACTTTGACAACCACCCGTTTAGGAATTGGGTTGACGGTTTGGGGACTCCTGGGTTCTGCCTTTGTTTTGAGGGCCCCTGGTCTATCTTAGGGTTTAGGGTTAGGGCTCAGGGTTTTTAGTTTTAGAGCTTAGGGCTTTTCTTGAGGATGCCCTGCGAGCTATGTCGCAGCGCGCATTGCAGCTTTTTTCAGAGTTCAGGGCTTAGGTTTTTGTTGGGCTTTGCTGTTTTGGGCGCCCCCTGTTCTGTCTTATGGTTTAGCTTAGGGCTTAAGGCTTTTGGGGTTCGGGCATGGGGCCTAAGGGTTTTTTGATTTGGTGCTGGGCTCTGCAAACCCTGGGGCGGCCGTAAACCCTGAGCCCCCAAAAGAGTTTAGGGGCTTGGGGCTGGGCAAAACGCAGAAGAATCAAATCATCAGGCATGAGGGCTCCTTCTTAGAAGTGTGGCAAAATACCCCAAAACCGTATTCTCTACATCAAGGCCATCAGGGCTTCAGCTTGGATATGATGTTGTCAACCCTTCGAGCCAAGCTCTGCAGTCAGGCGTCTCTTGCTCTTGTAGACCTTCCAAGGGTTTAGGGTTTAGGGAAAAGTTCGCTGCGAGAAGCAATAGCAGCAGCACCAGTAGCGGCGCAGTGAGAGCGTAGTAGCTGCAGTAGTTTTTGTTGCCGTTACTGCTAGCAGTAGTAGTAGCAGTAGCAGTAGCAGTAGCAGTAGCAGTAGCAGTAGCAGTAGCGGTAGCAGTAGCCGTAGCCGTAGCCGTAGCCGTAGCCGTAGCCGTAGCCGTAGCCGTAGCCGTAGCCGTAGGGGTAGGGGTAGGGGCAGTAGCAGTAGCAGTAGCAGTAGCAGTAGCAGTAGCAGTAGCAGTAGCAGTAGCAGTAGCAGTAGTAGTAGTAGTAGTAGTAGTAGTAGTAGTAGTAGTAGCAGTAGTAGTAGTAGTAGTAGTAGTGGTAGTGGTAGTGGTAGCAGTAGTCGTAGTCGTAGTAGTAGTCGTCGTCGTTGTCGTCATCGTGGTAGTAGTGGGAGAAGTAATCGCAGCAGCAGCAGCAGTAGTGGTGGTGGTGGTAGTAGTAGTAGTAGTGGTAGTAGTAGTGGTAGTAGTAGTAGTAGTCGTGGTGGTGGTGGTGGTAGTAGTAGTAGTACGCTGTTGTTGTTGATGTTGTAGGATTGTAGGAGTCGGATGATGAGATTGAGGCAGACACTGTACAGTCTGTTGGGGGGTCCAAAGAGGGGGCTAGACTAGTCAGACCCCGATATTGGCAAGGCACGTTTCAGCAAGAGCAGCACATGTGTGTCACGAGAACTGAGCAGTAGAGCAACCCGTGAGTTGTGGTTAAAGGCAGGCCCAAAGCCCCAAACTCCAGGCTCCCACACTGTGAAAAGCCATAAGCTTCTACCCAAACCCTAAACCCGACACCAAAACCCCAAAACCCAACACAGCAGTCAGAATGGAACACACACCAAACTCACCAAAGCCCACACCCTGGCACCCCAAAACCTTAAACCTGAAGCAACCTAAATCAGCCCTAGGCCCCAAAACCCCCTAAAAACTCTAAGCCCGAATCAAAACCTAAACCCTAAACTCTTTACAGAATGGCGACTCTGAACTCGCCCTGCGTGTCTTCAGGCGCGTACCGCAGGAGCCGGAGCTTGCAACTCGGAGTCCTTCCGGCGAAGAGGCTTCAACGGGAGGGTTTCGGGGTTTAGGGTTTAGGGGATTAGGGTCTATGGGGTTTAGGATATACGGGTTGAGGGTTTAGGGGTTCAAGATATAGGGGTGGCGTCTTTATAGAAAACCGGTTCTGAGCTCCTGTGGCCACTGTACATGCTTAACACGACGCTTCTATGGCTTCTGTAGCGATTGGATGAAGTTTTCACTGTTGCTCCCAAGGATCTTGTACCAACCATAAACGACTTGCAAGGATGTTGTGCAATATTGCTGTAGCGTTTGTCTATACGAACCGCATGGGAGACAACAAACCAAAAGCGAGCTGGCCAAGCGGCGAAGCGATGGTTAAGGCTGCAAGCTCACGATTAACGGCATTCCAAAATTGATGATCTTGGATGTGCAGACATCGTCAGGGTGCCCTAAGCTGTTGCAGACCTCGTCGAAACGATCCTTGTTGAATCCGACATGGGCTTGCGTTTTCTCTTGCAGCAAAATGTGGTCTGCCGTGAGCAACTCGTCACGAGATAGACGACTCGATCAAAACACTGTCCGCTCGCAACCATTTACATTTAGCTTGGGACGACTAGGTCGAATAGGCTTTACTTGCCATAAAGGCGTAGATGGGTGAAGGGTGTAAAGATTACTCAAGAACCCTATACCCAAAAGCCCGTGCTGGTGCTTCAATCCGCCTGGTTCTGCAGAAGGTTGGTCAGCGTTGCAGCATCCTTCAAACGGGGCTTTAGGCTTTGAGCTCAAAGCAATGTGAGGTCTTGAATACTTTAGAATAAGGCTTGGAGGCTATCTTATTGTAGACTCTTTGTAAGGATGTAAGGAACGCTAAGGATTATGTGCAACTGTACTGTGAAGATTTCGGGCGTTGGGCACAAAGGCTCTGAGGTATGCAGGCGCAGGGCTCTGGGCCGCAAGCCCAAAGACACGCACCTCAAACCCCGAAACCTGGGTCTGGGGTTTAGGGTTTTGCGTTTCTGCACGAAGAACCACCGAACCCGAAACCTTAAACCCTAAACCCCAAGCCCAAGACCCTAAACTTTAAACCCTAAGCCCAAAACCCTAAACTTAAAACCCTAAGCCCCAAACTAATTCTGTAGAGACTGCATGGCGATGCTATGATGGTTGAGTACAACAGCGACACTTTACTATGTTGTCATACTTGTAGGCTGTGGGGTACATTGTGGTAGAATCATAGTAGGAGCCCTAAAGAACAGCACTGCTCATCCCCCTATCTTATCCTACATTCTCGAGCTCAAGGCTCCGAAACTGCCATGCCACTAGCAGGCAACAGGCCGCCCTAGTATAGGGGCCTCAATAGTTGGAAGGGTGGGGAATATTATGCAATGACTCTATCCAAGAACTCTGACGAATCATGTTGGTCGCTATTCCGACCCCTATGTTCACGCCAGGCTTGATGGGACTCGGCTTTGGGTTCATGGTTTTGGGTTGGGGGTTCCAAGCCCCCAACCCGAAACCCAGTATAATGCCCTCAAACCCTAAATCTAGTTTGACACCACATAGGCCATAAGCACTGAACCTACATGATAGTGGTCTGGGTAAACTTGCAATCTTATTCCGCAATCATGGGAAAAAGCCTGGCGCCCCTGTACTAGACCTTCATAGAAAGCCTTGTGGCAGCCATGAAAGGAATCCTACTGAAACCCTGCAATTATATATTTTGTTCATGGCCCGTATAGACACCTCAAAATCATGTTAGAGTTTGCGGGTTGGGGGTTGGGGCTGTGGAGTTTTGCTTTCGAGTCAAGTGTTGGGGAATACAGGGGCCTTCATCATTAGACTAGGGACTTGGGGTATGTTGCGCTATGCTTATTTTGAAGGACCCTAGAAGCATTGATATTCGTATTCATTCGGGCCTGCATGTTGACACCCTATTCCCGCACACGAAGCCATATAAGGACCCTGAACAAAGAACTCTGAAACGAAGCCCCTCAAACAAGGCACCCTCAAAAGAACCCTCAAAGGAACCCTTAGCAGGGAACTCTCAACAAGGAACCCTTTAAGGCACCCCTTACAAGACCCCTTAACAGGGAACTTTTAAAGAAACCCTGAACAAGGAAGCATTAAAGGAGCCCTTATAGGAATCCTTAACGGAACCCTGTCAGGAACCCTTAACAAGGAGCCCTGAAAGGAATCTTTAAGGAATCCTCCTTGACAAGGAACCTGCAGAGGAAAGGAACGGCTCACGAGGAACCAGTAACAAAACCCCCCAAGGAACCCTGAGCTAACCGTTAACCCTAAACCCCAGACTTCCTAAACCCTAAAGCCTACAGCCCTCCCTCATGGAAAGGAGCCTTACCAAGGAACTCAAACAGGGACCCCAAGAAGGAACCCCTGCAGGAATACTGAACTCCGAAAAGCCGGGCACCTCGTGGCCAATCATCGAAGCGTCCATCATAGCCTGCTCAGGCTGGGCTGAGGGTTCTTACCAGGGTAGTCCTCTAAACTAGGGTCCCGTTTAGGGTCCTCTTATAAGTGTGCCGTACTACTCTCTGTTGGGGTTTAAGGTTTAGGGTTATAAAGATGCCTCGATCCATAAAGTTTGAGTTTTGAATTTCTATAACGGCTACAGCAATACGAGGGTTGCTTAACGGGTTGCTAAACGGGATTACTCTAACAGTTCGCATAGACACCATTGTCACATTGGAATAGGTTTTTGAGGTACGTCACAGCATAGTTGCATACGGTAGAGGAAGGAGGTCTTAGTATTGATTTGGTCGTGATGAGCTTAGAGTTTAGGGCTCAGGACCGTGTCAGATCTTGTAGCAAGATCTTCAACGCATCATCCCGCGCACACATGACAAAGCATTCCCAGCTTCAACATGCTTCAACCCTGTAGCCCGAAAGCCCGAAGCTCAGCAATCCTGCAGATTCGACTAAACCCTGGGTCCTAAACCCTATAAACTACACCCTGACTCCTCAACCTTAGACTCTAAGGCCCGAATCCTTAGCTTGAGCACCATCTGCTACACCGGGACATGCTCAACAACCGTAAGGAACCTAAGCTCTTAAACTCGAAACCCAAATTAAACTCTTAAGCCCTAGATGGATTGGGTGGGCCGGCACACTCGAGATTGAGGCTGCAAAAATGTGTCGCTGTAGCGCTGCCCCTAAACCCTAAACCGCTGAAGGGCTGCAGGATGAAGCGTTCGGGGCTTGACTGGTGCAGATGGAACCAAAAACGCAACCTTGAAGGACAAATGATTATGAAGCATACTGCGCACATGTCGAAATAGTAGGTCCTTCACTTCCCGACAGAATCATACTGTTGTAGCCCCCGAACCCTTTTCTGATAAGCAAGGCCTCATGCTGGTGCCCTACATCCTGGAACCCAAAAGACGGCAAAACAAGCCGTGAACCCTTCGAACATGGGGAGTAGTATAGGGTTTGGAGCTGGGGGTTTAGAGTTGAGGGTTTAGGCTTTCGGGGTATCTACAGCTACATTACCCCGGGAAAGTCCCAACCAGAGCCCATTTGAACAGCCCAACTAGGTCAAACCTTTATGCATGTAGCCCGAAGCCAGGAGAAACCTTTCACACCATCAGGAAGCTGCTGCCCCAACTCTTAACCACAACACAACCCCCCAGGTCACTCAAGCTTTAACACAACCGTAACAATCAGTAATAATGAGACCAACGCACAAATTTGTATACAGAGTAGAGTAGAAGACTATCACAGAAACCACACACTAAGAAACAAAAAACCGACCCCAAACTCCCCTAAACCCTAAACCCCAACTCGCCTCCACCTAAACCCTCAGCCCTGAACCCTACAAAACACAAAAACAAAAATCTCCGTGGCCTGAACCGCCTTTAGGAGGCCAGGGGCCTGGGTCACTCTTGGATGGGACAAGTCGCGAGAGATGCGTCTCAGTGTGGGGTCCTGCCTAAGAACCGGTTCTGTAGGGTTTCGGGTTCAGTCGCAAGTTTGGAGTTTAGGGTTAAGCTTCGGATCCCTTGAAAGATCGGCTTTAGTACGGTTCTTTGTCGGACCCCTTGGGCTTAAGGGTTACGTAGGGTTTAGAGGTCCGGGCCCCTTGAAAGGGTTGATACAGTCTGGCGTTCCGGGTCCCTCCACGAGGCTATGCAGGGCTTTGCTGTCCCTTGAAGGGTTTACCAGAGGTCTAGGGCCCCTTGAAGGGTTTAGGGTCTATATAATAATCTATATAGAAGGCTTTTAGGGTCTAGGGTTGCAAGTCTAGAGGTTCAGGTGTCAAGGCTTCTATGTTGCCTTTGGAATTTAGGGTCTACCACAACCCCGAAACTACGAAACCCTACACCTGCAATCCCACCCCGAGAGAGCCTATGTAGAACCGGTAAACCTAGACCCTAAACCCTAAACCCAAACACTAACATGAGCAGAGGGTGCTTTCAGGCCCACGGACGCCGAAGCTTCCCGAAATTCGCGAACGTCCGGGCGCCCCACGCCCTTCACCTGCACCAAGGCACCTTGGTAGGATAAGGCGAAGCTGTAGTACAGTTCTCCTACAAGGATGAGGGTGCAGCGGCTTCGGGTCAGGATTAGGATCTAGCGTTACGGTTGGGGGTGTGGGCCTGAACAAGCAGATCAGGGTTTTGACGGCTTCGAGACTACCAAAAAATTCTTAAGGAACTTTTGACTAGGGCGTGAATGATTTCGAGTTGAGGGCTCTCGGCTTCTGGCCCACAGCCTTGGGGTTCTCGGGACTCGAGGTTCTACGAGTCTTCAGCTCTGGTGTTGGGCTTGGAGTCGCAGAACTTGGCTTGGAAGCACCGGGCTTAGCGGTGAAAGACAGAAGCCTCAAGAACATACTCTCTGCATCCATTAAGGAACCGAACGGAAGTATATTCCGCCTGAAGCAGGCCCCTGCGAAGCCCCGTACAGACCCAAAAAAGCCTCATGAGCACCACACCTCTATAAAACCCCTTGCAAATCCAAAAGCAATCCGAAGTCAGTGCTTTGCTTCTGGTACAGAACAGCGACAAAGCTCATCAGAGTTCGCGGTTCGCTGTTTGTTTAATTGGCTCTGCGTTCTATGGGGGCCTTAATTATTAAAATAGGGTTTTAGGGCTCAGTATACTATGTTTCTAATAAGGAACCCCCTAAAATAGTATTGGTAATTATCTAGGGCCGGGGCATGGAAGTGCAAAAACAATATCCGATAACCCTTGTAGCTAGAGATATCGCAGGCATGTGAATTCACAAGACGGCCGCGCTTAGAGCTTAGAGTTTAGGCCCAGGGTTTAGCATGGCCTCGCACTGAGTGAGCGGAGTTTGGTGCTTTAGGCTCTAGTCTCCCGCGTTTCCGGTGTAGGGTTTCGGATCTCCACTTCAGCGGGGCTAGAGCTTGGGCCCAGCATCCCGGAGAAAACTCCGAGAGCTGAGTTTTAGGGTTTAGGGTTCAGGGTTTCAGGAGCTGTTAAGGGCTTGGAGGGCTTGCTGATGGAACACTGCTGGGCATATGGCTTCCTTTCTTCTCCTCCTGACGGCAAACATGCTTGAGATTGCCATAATGCCATAAGGACCCCCTAGACCTGCCAGGTTTCGCGTTCTCTGTGCAGAAATCGCGGTCGAGGTTTCAGGCATTGGAGCTTAGGGTTCACGGTGGGTTGAAAGGATCAACAGGCAAGAACTGGCATCATAAGCACGCAGTAAGGCATGTAGTTGACAAGTAACCTCAAGCAAAGAGCAGAGTTGACAAAACGGCGGAGCAGCGGGCTTAGGAAACGACTTGTCGATACGGCAACCCTCGACCCGAGCCCTCGTAAACCCCCAACCCTAAACCTTAAGCCCAAAATATCGAACCCATACTTTGGTAAAATACCTACAGACCCTTGGAAAACCTTGACCAGGGCAATCCCCCACTGGCCTGAGTTCCGAGGCTTCCAGAATTGCAAGATTTGGGCTGGAGAGTTCCAAACCCCTGAACCCCAAAACCGCGCAACCTGAGACCCGAGCCGGCAAAAGCCCTGATGGTTCCAAACTGAAGGAACAAAAGCCAAGCCGCCCTCAACGCCAAACCCCAAACCCTTAACCCTAGAACCCTAAAACCCTAAAACCCTAAAACCCTAGAACCCTAAAACCCTAAACTTCAACCCCAAGCCCTGAACCCTAAACTCCCGGAAGGTGCCCTCTCCTTCTCCAAAGCAGACATTGCTCGCTCGAGGGCCGAGTTGACCTCGGAGGATTCTATCCGATTCCACGGTTGTGTTCGTGGAGCCCTTAATCGCACTAGAGGGTTCTATCATGAGGTCCCCCTTTAAGGGTAGTGTAGGGTTCTGCACTAGGGTCCCTTTATGGGGTAGTGATTTTGGGCTGGGAGACTTGAAGTGGGTTCCTCATGCGGCTGCCGGAGTTTTGGTTGCAGCTGTTGTTGCGGGAAGGGGAGGGGAGGGATGAAGGCGTTCCGGGCCCAGCGCTTCTGTTGCTGGGGTGGCTTTAAGAAAGGTTGTAGGGTTTTGGCCTTTGGGGCTGTAGGGCTCCAAGACTGCACGGCTTCGGGGCTGTAGGGCTGTAGGGCTTTAGCATTCTGGGCTTTAGGTTTTGGGAATTTTAGGGGCCAGGTCGATGCCGGACCCCAAGTCGTAAACCCACCCAGGCCCCCAGTCTTTTAACAGAAAGGGACTCCTACCCCAAGCCCTGAACGCCAAAAACCTGGACCCCGAACAATACAGGCTTGGAGCCTTAAGTAACCCGAAACCATGCGTTGCCTTACGGGATATGAGTTAATCCAAGTCGTAGCCCTAAAGACAACATTGGCTGTTGAAGCACGCGAAGCTTTATGAAAAGCCTTCTCCAACTAGAGCGTTGGCAAGCTTAGAGTCAGAGATCTAGTTCAGAGTGGCCTTGAGCAGGAAGCTCCTTCACTATCTATGAAGGCCCCTATTTCTGGCCTGGGGGTTTGGGTTGCAGAGTTCGGGTTCCAGGGTCATAGGCATAGATCGGGAACATGGGCGTTGGGTTTTGGGGGCGAGGCTTGCCAACTGTTCTGAAACCTTGCTGAACCCTCTGGCAGACCTAAACCGTCGGCCCGACACCGTGAATCCTGAACATGAAACCTGAATCCGAAACTTGAACCTTAAATAAGTCCTGAACCTTAAATATAGAACCCCTTATGAAAGCCTGACAAGAACTCCTTAAACAACCCGTCTGGGCCACAAACTCTGCGCCCTGAGATTTAATCCTAACTTTCCGGTTTGGGGTTTGGGGCGTTCAGTCCCAATGGTCGAACCGTGGAAATAAGTCGCAACCTCATGCCCCCCTCCCCCCCCCCCACCCCACCCGCAACCACTCAAACCAGCTGAAGAAGCACAGAGGTACGGAATCGCTCTGTGGTTTTAGGATCTCGTCCTTTGGGAAGGGGGCGGTGTAGTTAGGGTTCTGTAGTTCGACCCCGATTGACAAAGATTCCTTAAACCCTAAACCCCGGAACCTCAACCCCAAAAAGGAAGCAAATCATGCAGCAAACACCTGGGCCAGTATTCTACATAATGTACTTTTGGCGTCCACTAAAACCTAAGCCCCACTTCCCCAAAAAAAGCCACTGGAAAGCCACAAGAACGACCTGGGATCCCAACATCCAAAAGCTCGTTCTCGGCGCTTCGGAAATCCTTTCCGCGACGGCTTTGGGCTCTAGGGAGTAATACAAAGCAAATTCCCGCTCGGCCCTAACCTGGGATTCAGGGTTTAGGGTTCAGGGTTACAGCCCCAGAAAGTGGGCCCTGAATGATGCAAACCCCTGATGTGTGAAGCCCCAGGGGAAGGGTTTTGACATTCGGATCCCTACTATAACCCCTAAAATCGGGAGGGATTCGTTCATCACATTTGTTGTAAAAACAACCGCCCAAGGCATTCTGCTTTGTTCAGGGCACTTCTTCCATCCATAAGGCAGGGTCTAGTGCTTGGAACTTAGGCAACCGAACCTTAACACTAAACCCCACGCCTGAAACCCATAGACCCAAAAACCCTCAAACCCCAAACCCTGAACCCTTAGAAGCATGACAGCTGAGGCAGGCGCCACGCTCTCCTTCTGGCGCACCTCTGTGGCCGCCTTGAGACATGCATAATGCAAGAAACCGATTAAGAGGAACCTCGAGTTCTTTTCTACTACTACTAACACCAGCACTAGTACTCGCAATGTGGGTCCTGCTCCTGTGCGGTTACAGATCCAGAGGTTTCGCTATCAGGATGCTGCCCGTAGAGATCTTTCTCGGACTTCAGGCAGGAATTCGGGGCTGGAGTTCGAGGTTTAGGGTCGGTTTAGGGTTTAACTTGTGATTTAGGGTTCAAGGCATGGGAAGCAGGCGTTGGGAGTCTGCACATGCTGACAACATACACCTGCCAAGGCAGCCTGAACACCCCAAACCCATAAACCCTAAACTTTTAACCCCTAAACTAACCCTAAACCACAACCTTTTAAACCCTAAGCCCCGAAGCCCGAATTTTAAAAACCCTAACCCCTAAACCCCCTAAACTTCCAAAACGAAACCCCTAAACCCATACCCTGGAGTCGAGGACTCCCGGCGTCAGGCCTTTCGGCTTCAGCTGTTTCGGGTTGCAGGCTTCGGGGTTTAGGGTTTAGGGCTCCGTACCATACGCATAGAGCTGCCATGAGGAAACAGCTTAGGACAGAAGTGTATGTGTGTAAGTGTGTGCGTGTATATACATATATAAGTGCACACATGTGTGTACATATATATATATACATATATACACAAAGATACTTGTATGCGACATATATACATGTGTATATATATATATATATACGTGCATACATACATACATACATACGTACATACATACATACATCTACACGTATACACATATACACATATACACATATACACGTATACACATGCACACATACACATACACATACACATACACATACACATACATATACATATACATATACATGTACATATACATATACATATACATATACATATACACATACATATACATATACATATGCATATACATATACATATACATATACATGTACATGTACATGTACATATACATGTACATATACATATACATATACATGTACATATACATATACATATACACATACATATACATATACATATACATATACATATACATATACATATACATATACATATACATATACATATACACATACACATACACATACATATACATATACATATACATATACTGATATGATCTGCTATGTATACACGATATGCAGCGGCGGTAAGCTAAGGGGCCCTAATTCAAGTTCTTCAAGCGACCCCGGAGGTTAAGAAAGCCCGATACCAGGGGGGACAAACTATAAGGTCGAAAACCCTATTCCAGCCGTATAGACAAAAGCCGCTATGACAACCCGTCGAGAGGAAGCCCGTTAAAGACCCTGCTTTACAATCGAGATATTCGCTGCAAGAGCTTATAAGACCCTTGTGGAACTCATGCTGAACCCTTACAACACCATTCTAGAACCCTTTTTTGACCCGTCCCTCTTTCGCCCAGCAGAACGCCGATGTTTTTCTCCCGAGGGCCTTGAGGTCTGCCTCGTTGCCGGCCAGGCTCTCCTGCGACGAAGATTTCACGGTGTTCTTCGCTTTTTTGATACGGGTTCATTGGGCGCCTCAGGATGTGTGTTAGAAAGATCTATCACGGCTTTTTCGGGGTTTTGTGGGAGCTTTTGAATAGAGTCTTTAAGGTTGGGGAGTCAAGCTTTACAAGGGATGGGGCGGTTGTGCGAGTTCGTCGTATAGAAGTTCTATGGAAAACCCGTGATTTATTGGGGTTGTGCAAGAGTTTTGTAGGGCCCTATAAAGGACAGTATTGCCGGCGGGGCTTTGACACAGGGTTTGGAGGGGGCAGACAATTAGGGGTGGCTCATTTATCGCTCCTTGTCACAAGGATGGTTTAGAAATCAAGGTAAACTCAGGCTCCCTTATTCAGGCTCCCTACTACAATGGCTAGGGATTTATGGTTTATACACTTTTGAGATTTCCGTCGGGGGGGTTCAGACATTGAGACGTACCTTCTCATGACTTCCTTGGATTCTGGTCGTGAGCGTCCCACATTTCCTTCAACTCCCGAAACTCCGAGGGGGGCGGAGGTTTAGGGTTTAGGGGTTGCAGTGCTTTTCGGGGTTTGAGACTACGGAGCCTAGAAGACAGCTGTTGGGGCAGAGGAATATCCTTCAACTGGACGAAGTCAGTGTCTTTTTGAGGGCGCAGGGTCTGGTTACAGCTTCCGAACACCCTCAACTGCCCCAACTCTTGCCTGTAGCCGCGAACCCAACATAATCGAAGGGTATGTATGATGACCCTGTAGTTGCATGGTCCTGGTACTGGTAGAAATGTTACACCCCTAAGCCTCAAAGCTCAGTCTTTGTCCGCACCTGGGTCTCTCCAATCGTGGAGGCCGCTACCTGGTACAGTCGGAAAGGGTGGGTTGTAACTGTAGGGATTGGAGGGGTCTGAGAACTGAGGGATTGGGGTTTTGGGGTTTAAGTAGTAAGGATGGCTTTGGGCGTAGCCTGATGCAATAAGGACTCATATTGACTCATATTGCCGTATTGTTTAAGACCACGTACAAACCCTAAACGATCATCGTGGCTAGAACCGCAAAACTCTCAGATTTAGGGATCCATCACCTCTGCACAATCCGTACAGAACCTGCTTTACAGGTTGAATGTGCTTGGGGCCACCTTGAACCCCAATCCCGAACCTCAAATGCCGAAAATAATCCTCTCGTCATGGGATCCCTGCAGGTATCTTCACGTAATCCCTGTCTTTACATACCCACCCGAACACCTCAAACCCGAATTACACCCTGCACTCTAAACCTTGACGTATTCCAAACCCCCAACCTAAATCCAAAAACCCGACAAAGCATAAAGGCCTGTTCCAAAAAACAACCCCATACTAACAACCTATGAAACCCTGAAACACCCCTTCAAACAAAACAAAACAAATGCCTGGTCTTTCAATGACCCCAGAGACAAGCAGGGCAACCTACGAAACGAAAACAAAGCCCCCTATTGAACAACCCGTAAGTCAAACATGATGACTAGAGAATCCCTTATCGGGAACCCTTGAGAAAGCAGTAAGAAACCTTTAAAACATTTGTGCTCAAATCTCTCCTAAACCCTAAAGGTTAACCCCTAAACCGTAACATTTTAGCTTGTAAACCCTAAACCCCATAAACCCTTCACCTAAGCCTTAGAAAAGCACATAGCATAGAACCACTGTAGAAACAACATTAAAATGATGGGTTCTTGCTAATTAACGAACTCATGCGAAATTCCAATGATCGCGAGACCAGGTCATTCACTACAAATCCCGATTACGAAACTTAGCATCAGTTCCTAAACCCTAAACCCTAATCCCCCGTGATTTTTTCTGTGGGATATCGGGATCCCCATCGCGACAATTTTTCTAGAGTCCTAACCCCTCAACCTTGGACCTTAAACCCTTAAACTCTGAGTGTAAACTGGATCTATCAAGGTCCTACACCGAAACCCTACACCCTATAACCCCCAAAACTAAACCCCCCGAACCCTAAGCCTCAAGCCCTAAATCCTTAAACGCTGAACCTTACAACTCCTGAACCCCCAAACCCTAAAACCCAAAACCGCCAAACCCTAAACCCTAAACCCCTACAGCACTAAACCTTGATCCCCAACCCCTAAACCCTCAACCCTCAACCCGCGCACCGGCGCACCCGGCCTCAGCCTTGCTTTGCGCCTTGCTGCTGCGAGCGCTCATCTCCTCAACGTCTAGGGTTTAGGGTTTAGGGTTTAGGGGTTAGGGCTGTAGGGTTTTGGCTTTAGGGTTTAGAGTTTAGGGGTTAGGGGTTTAGGGGTTAGGGTTTAGGGGAAAGGGCTGTAGAAATTTTAGGGGTTCAGGGGCTCAGCTCCTCGATGTCGGACTTCGCCGTCTTGATCTGAGCGCGTTGGTGCGGGGCTTGAGGCTTTGTGGGATTTAGGGCTTTGGGATGGGATTGTAGGGGATTTAAGGGCATTTAGGGAATTTGTGGGTGTGAGGATGGGATTTGAGGGTTTGGAGGATTTAGGGGTTTAGGGGATAGGGGGTTTAGGAGATTTAAGGGATATCGGGTATCTTAGGGTGTGGGGAGAGGGCGGCTTAGGGTTGGGGCTTGAGGGGTTTGGGAATTGAGCTCCAAGGTTTAGACCGCCCCCCAAAACTACCTCAACTCGCCATAAGATCTCTATCAATGGTACCTTAGGTGTCCTGGCAATGTCCGGTTTAGGATTTCGGGTCGGAGCCCTCCGATGCGGTTTGAGGGTCTATTCCAAGGTTCGGACGCAAGTATTCTGCTTCGACAAGGGCTTTGGCTCAACCTGTAGCCCCAAACACTACAAAAAGACGGTCCTGCCGTTATGTGATTTCGGGTTTGAGGTTCAGGGTTCACCAGAAAATGGCAGGTATTCGCAGCCGACGGAAGCGGCTTGGCTCACGCCAAGAAACGCGCGATCATGATTACGACAGGCCTGCTGCTACTATGATCATGAGCTTCTTTGCACGACAATTACCGATTCCCGTCAAGGTTATTGTGATACGTAGTATCAGTATAGTTGTACTGGGTACTTGCTACTATTGCTCGTATGTCAATACCAAACCCTATACCCTAAAGGCTAAACCCTGCACTAGTCATAAGCATCGTTAGCGCAGCTGGCAAAGCTGTCTCCAGCCACTTCGGCTCCATCGGGGAAAATCTTTCGGGCCGGCACCAAGGACACGCTGCAGTTGCAGGGTTTAGGGGTTTGGGGTTTAGCGTTTAGGGTTTAGGGTTTAGTCCGACTGAACCCCCTGAACCCCTAACCCCCTATGCCCTAAAAACCCTAAACCCAATATCCCCAAAACCCAGACATTAGTAAGCAACTTTTTTGCCCAAAAAACGGCGAAAGCATGGGCAGTCTAAACAAACTAGGCCCCGAAAACCCAGACTGCGCCTACGCTGCAAGTCCGCAGCCCTTTAACCCCAAAAGCCGCAAAGCCGTAAACAACGCGACGACGCGACTGAAGCCCCAGATTTTTAAAACCTGCAACTCTCACCCTTTAACCTAAACCCTAAACCCTCAACCCTAAACCACCAAAAAGGACAGCCGCCTGATACCCAAGGTCCGACTTCCTGGCGTTTCTCCATTTTCCGGGCTGTGGAAGATGGAGGTTCGTGAGGTGTCAATTTAGGGTTTAGGGTTTAGGGGCTTAGGGGTTTAGGGTTTTAGTTTTTTCAAGGCTTTAGAGAGCTTACAGGGTGTTCAAACTTGTCCCTGAGCTGTTTCAATCAGGCGCTTAGGGTTCATGAGGTTACGGTTTTAAGGCTTGCAATGCGTTTAATAGGTGCTCAAAGCTGTCTGAGCTGTACCAATTAAGCGTTGAAAGTTCAAAGCTTTTCTGGACTTAGGGCTTCGGGCTTTTATTGCTGCTATGGCTCTTAAGGCGTTTAAGGCTTTGAGCCTTTTCGGGCTTGGGCTGAGGGCATCTGGGGTTTTGGGTTCCGAGCTCCTGGCGATGCAGCGTTTATTGTGGCTGTTGGAACCCTAAACCCTAAACCGGTGCTTCTGTTGTTCTGAAGCGCTACAGGGCTTCCTACTACTCGAACTTGCCCTGAACGCGACACCCTAGACCTAAACCCAAAACCATGTAAGGCGCCATGAAGGCATACATGAGGTGTGAATCACATCAAGGCTTCATTCAGCTTCTGGAGATTGCGGTTTAGGGTTTAGGGTTTAGGTTTTGAAGGTTTAGGTTTTGTTTGGGGTTTCGGGTCATGGTGCTTGTGATCGCCGTCGCGGTTTCAACTATGTTTGCACGAGCGTACAAGTATTGGATTTGGGGCTTAGGAAATTTTAGGAATTTTAGGAGTTCGAGCGTGGGGCTGCAGAGACTGAAGGTGCTTTTAACTCTGAGCCTCAAACCCCAAGCCCTAAGCCCTAAACCCTAAACCCTGACTCCTAGGCCCTAAACCCTAAACCCTCAACCCTAAGCCCAAACCCGAATCCGAAGCCCAAACCTTAAACCATAACCCTAAGCCCAAAGGAACTGTAAACTCAAACCTAAACCCGATCTCCTCAACCCGAAACCCAGCCCACGCCCACAAAGGAATCGTAAACCCCAAACCCCTAAAGCCGCTAAAGGAAAAGGAAACCTCCCACGGCCTCCTCTCGCAGATGGCCTTGTACTCAGCGATCTTCACATCCTCGGCCTGCACCCAGGGGCCAAGCGCCGACTCTATGTCTTAATAACTGTTTCGGGTGTAGGGTTGGGGTTTATGGTTTACGGTTTGGGGTTTAGGGCGCAAGAACCCTCAGCGCATGCTTCCAATCAAGGAAGCAACCCTGAAAAAGAAGAACCAAGCAACTTACTTTCCCAATAAGCCACAGAAACAAATGGTTAAACTTTCCCAGTACTACTAAACTATATGAACCAGACAAGTTTAAAGGTTGGGTATTGGGAACTAAGGCAACAGAATCGCAGCTGCCTTGCCCTCCTCTTCGATCTTTCCCTGAATCTCTCCCAGCAGGGACACCACCTTGCCGACCTGCTGGAAGTCTCAAGGCCATGGAGGGGTTTAAGGTTGAAGGTTCAGGGGTTTAGGGTTTAGGGCTCTGTGAGGGGTGCTTTCCCGTGGTATGAGGCACTTTCAACTCTAAACGGTGGTTTCTGGATGCTGTTAAGGCTCATGTCTGTATTGACTCCGAGCCCTAAGTGGCATTGATTTGAGCATTTGGGCCTGGGCCTTTGAGTTTCAATAACTCACGAAAGCAGAACAGGAACAGACATGAAAGGGAACGCCGACTGCTCGAGGTTAGGGTTTGATGCTACCAGGGAATACATCTTTCGACCCCAGATGCTCGAGCCAGAACCATAAAAACACGAGCGAAGCAGCCAAAGAGCTGATAATTCAAAGCTCGAAGGAGCCTCAAATCTGAGCTCTGCCGCCGAAAACCCCTCAACCACAAGGACGCTCAGCAGATTCCCTATGAAACCGGTGGTAAGCTTGCACTCCCAAAGCTGCGAGCCGATAAAGTTAAAGTTTTCGGAACTGTCGATCGTTTACGGCTTCGGTTCCAGCTTTGTCCCGGTATGATTGCGCCCAGCATATCTGCAGCCTCATCTGCAGCCGGACAACGAGTCTCGGAAGTCTTGAAAGCTCAAACGCCGCACCGTGAACGAAAAGACCTCAAACTCGCATAAAAACCCAAACACCCTAAAGCACTGAACCCCCGAGCCCTCACCACCTTGGAATTCCCAACCACGGACAGGATGAGGAGACCCACTTGGCTGCTTGAGACCCCAAGCTCTTGACTTATCTCATCTCAGGCATAAGCCCCCAGCCTGACAGAACCCTCATAACGAGATGAAGCACATTGAAAGCCCGCCGAATCCCAGAAAAACTGACACCCCAAACCCTAGACCTAAACCCCAAACTCCTAAACCCTAAACTTTCAACCCTAAGCTCCTAAACCCTAAACCCCAAGATACCCGAAGCCCGAATCTGGAGTGCCCGACAGGGCTGGTAAACTCTGCGGCGGCCAGGGCCTTCAACGGTCCGAAGGCTTTTGGGGTTGTGGGTTTAAGGTTCCTTTAAGGGCTCCTCTGAGAGGGGGTTGAACCATAAGCTTGGTTCTCCGGCGCCTTTTTTCCCACCATGCTTTGGCGTCTAGGGTTTTGTTTTGGGACATTTGGAGTGCAGGGTTTTTGGGGGTCCGCCTGCTTTGGCTCGGGTAGGATTCAAGAAGAGTTCAAGCAATAGGATGCGCACATACAAACTTGCTTCAATGCTTGCGTAGGCTGCATAGAGGTGTCCGTACCCTACTTTCGGGTTGGGGCATCGGGAGTGGGAGGAAGAGAGACCGAAAGAGAGACGTGGTTTCTTGTTTCGCTATCATCTTCTATGTGTTGTCCTAGCTATGGCAGCTATCGGGGTTGACAGCCCCTGCTAGCTGCGACATACAATATGCCTGCTGCTACCCTTGATACCGCGTGTTTTGATGCATGACATTTGACAACGGCTGCTGAGCTGCTTCGGATAATCTGCGAAGAACACAAGCACGCACACTCTCGCGTTATTGCGGTCATCATTGCTGCTGAAGGGGCCTTGTGACAATCGCAGCCCAAATCTTGAATCCCTCTAGAATCCTTACAGTACGCCTTACAGTAGCTCTTGTGCCAAGTAAGCCTTGTAGCAATCCTTATAGTATCCCTGATAGTAACCCTAGCAGCACGCTTCAGGTGGACCCGTTGGGTTTAAAGGCGAGGGCCAGCCGAGGCCTACCATAAGGGGTACTAGAAGAATACGATAAGGGAGTTTCCGAAAATTAGGGGTACCTTATTGTGGGGTCCTTATAATAAGGATCCCCATTAAAACTATAAGGGTGCCACAAGAGTAGTGCACAAGTACTACAAGGCGAGCCCCGGCACTCGGCAGTGATATTCATCCATCTTTCATGCACATTACTGTGTGCTGAAAAGACAACCAACAGAGGCACCGTGCCCTCAACCCCAAGCCTAAGCTCGAAACCCTAAGAAACCCTGAACCCTACCCGAACCCGAAGCTTCCCGAGCCGGGCACCAGGGAGGCGACGAAGGCAATGCGGAAGGCCATTCCGAGCTCTGCTTCGTTCAAGGGCCTTGGGCCAAGGGAACGTAAGAATAAAAATCACAGGAGAATGCATTCCTTGTTCTGGTCGCCGAGATGAAGCCCCTTCAAGCCCTCGAAGAGACTTACCGAATCCTCTCAAATTTTCAATCTTCACGACAGTATATACCGACATCAAATTATGCTTCGGGACAGGGGCCCAGTTTGGGACCATCGGGCTGGCACGCTTTTGGAGTCTTGCTAGCATCAAGAGCAACAGCCAGACCTTCGAGAATCGACAGAAAGCCTCTTAAGCTAGGAATGTGCTTGGACCTTAATAATGGGGATCCATGAATTCTATGATGTATACAGGCGATGGAAGCGTTCTATAGGGATTGCACAAGGATTGTATGATGGGGCTTCGGGCGCCTTCCAGATGCTTGGAGACGATAGCTAGAACCCCACGCCCGATCGAGGCGACTGTGCTGAGTAGTACAGCTACTCACGCTGCTTCTGGCAGAGGATACTCGATGATATATATATATATATATATATATATATCGTTGTGTAAGCCCCTGTATGTGATGAGCATCAGCATCGGTTGCTGCTGACCACCACATCATTGGAATGAGTATCAGGGGAGAAGTAACACAGGGCCGGGGCCTTAATGGTTTGACTACGGCTTCGGGGGTATAATATAGTCTAGCATGGATATGATATAAAGGACCCCTTCAAGCCTTTAATTCAGGATATGGCCATCTACCAGACGGGCGTTGGGGGCTTTAGGGTTTAAGAACTGAATGAGTGAATGCTCGTTGGGTTGGAGGCTTCAGTGCTTCACGCTTGCAGAGCTTAGGGTTTCAATGGGAACGCTTGTAGCCCAAGTGGGATACGTGCACTAAGTCCACCGTCCCCCTCCTTGGTAACACCGTGAACTCTAGAAGTCACCCTGAACCTTTGAACCCCAAACAGGTAATCGCGGGCCTGCCAGGAGCCGTAACTAAGCAAACCTTCCCAAGTCGGGCTTACAAGTATCTTGATCGGGGTGAGAGCAGTTTGTGCCTCCCCGGCTGTACTTGACATGTGCGGCAAGTGCCCAAATCCAAACCTTGAGCCGACAACCTGGACCTAGACCCTGAAGCCCAAACCCTAACCGCCTAACCCTACATCCTAAACCCTAAACCCGAAGCCCCAAGAGCCAAACCCTGCAACCCCAAACCGTAAGCCAAGTGGCCTGGCTCAAAAGCTTCGTTGAAAGGATTCTTGCCCGCTGCAGGGGCTGGGTGCACCGATTGGCGTTCCCTGTCTTGGTCCAAAAAGGCGTGCAGGACCCGAGAACTCGAAACCCTAAACCTTAGATTCAGCACCGTGATGTGGGTTTGGGGGAATACTGTATGATATCTGCATAAGGATTACCATGGGCGCCCTGAATCGGACGGCGCCGGGATTTGAATCCTGGGGTGGGGGGGTTTTGAAAGTTCAGGGTTTGGGATCAACTCACAGAAAACGACACGAGGAGCGGACAGGACAAATCCCGTGTCGAAAGCCTATAAACCCTAAAGATCTGGGTGCCCGTTCCCGGCATCCAGCTGGACCAAGGCTCCCTGTGGGAAACCGATGCCCCAAAGCCTCTGATGGTCACAATGTTGCTAGTGTGAGCACAGATAACCATGCTCAACCCAAACACCAAAGCTGCTGCAACTGCCAGCACAATCGCTATCACCAATGGCCCCGTGAGTCAAGAAGCATTTAGCACGAGTCTTCCTCGTCTGCCGAACGCCGTCGGAGCTGATGTAGGGCTGAGGTCACGCGGTTTTGGGGGTTGAGGGTTGAGGGCTTTTGATCCAAACCTTAAGCCCCGAATGATCCACCATCGGAGTGCTTCGAAATGCTTGACCTCGCAAATACCCGAACAACAGCGCACTTGCCTTTCGTCCCAAGTATTCCCAAATCCTACCAGAACCCAGAATGTGGGTTTAAGCGTCAGGGTTTGTCAGGGCTCCTTAGCGGAGATTTTGTTCGAGGTAGGTGAAACCGAAAGGCGCCACTCACTGTCCGAAGGCGCCCTGCGACGGGAGCATTTAGGGGTGGCTTAGACCGTTTCAGGGCTTAGTGTCTTGGCTGCTGCCATTGCATGCGAATGGGTTGCGCATCTTGTGGGTGAGAGCGGCTTAGTGATTTGGGGTTGGGGTTAGGCCATGCTGGAAGGAGCATGATACGTAACATGAGCTGCCGCATCACCGTGTTTGGCAGTGAGTTCTTTCTGCATAGTTTCAACACGTTTCGTGCTCGAGGGACTCCGCGGTGCACCGGAACACCTGACCTGGCTATGGCGAGCCGGCGATCCTGCTTCGCGGAGCCGTATCGGAGATCTAGAAGCTGCGCGAGCTGACCCTTCAGAGCGACCTCCTCTGCCACGCTCTAGGATCTGTCTGAGGGTACGAGTAGCCTCTGCTGGAAGCAAAGTGCATACAAGCCGGCTCCGAACGGCCTTCTTGCTAAACCCTAAAGCCCTACATTCCAAGTAACTGACTTTCCCGGAACCCCTCAAGCCCTGGCCCCTAAACTGCGAACCGATCTTGACTTCTAAATCCTGAAGCCTCAACATAAAACCCCTAAACCCTAGACCTTAGACCCCGTAACTCCCAAAATCCCTCAACCCCTCAACGCATGAACCCCAGCAGCATTCTTAACTACACGCGAAACCCTCAACCCAGTCTTAACCCTGCCCTAATCAAACTCTGAGACCATCTTGAACCATAGACCCCTGAACCCTAAACCCTGAGCCCAAACCAAACCCTGCCGCTTCACATCAGCCCCGAAGCACCCTTATAACAACCCCCTATCAAAGCCTATGTCAAACCCCTAAACCTGGAGCCCTACAGCTTGGAACCAAAGAGTCTTGACTGGGTTCTTGTTGGGGGATTTAATTTAGATTACCATAATAGGGATCTATAGCAAATCATATGGCTTCCTTACTATGGTTACGTAAATTAAATCCCTTAACCAGACTACCTTGGAGTTTCCCGTCGGCCCTACCCTCAGAGCAACCCTTAGAGTACCCCTTTTTGGAAAGCTGCACCCTCTACACCCGAACCCTAGTCCCCACTTAAAGGCCTCAACCCCTATCCTCCCTGAACCCCTGAAACCCCCTAACAGCCCAAGACTCCTCTAAACCTCTCTAAAATAGGGCCCTTAACAATCACAACAGGGTTTGGGGGTATATTATACAATGTTTATAGAACCGGAGCCCAAGAATCGTCTAAACCTCTCTAAAATAGGGCCCTTAATAATTACAACAGGGTTTGGGGGTATATTATACAAGGTTTATAAAAAAACGGAACCCTGTCTAATTATAAAGGCCCCTATCCCACCTATTAGAATTGTACTGTATTGGTATAAAAAAAGGAACCCTTTCCAATTATTAAGGCCCCCATCCTACCCCGAACTCAACGAGCCTTGAAGGAGAAGGATCCGTCCTCCGGGCCGCAGACTTTGCCGAAGTCGAACATAGGAGCCCCTGGGTTCCTTTCGATAGCTTGGGCTCCTTAAAGGAAGTAGTGGGGTAGGGGGGTGGGGTGGTAGGGTTTGGGCTTTGGGCTTTCGGGTCCATGTCTCGGGTTTGGGGTTTAGGGGTTCCTGTCTACCGAGTGGTTTATCGGGTTTGCGGTTTGGGTTTGAGGAGACTAGGGAGTGGAGGAAGGCTTTTTTGGATTCACGGATGTGGCGCCTAGGGTTAGGGTGTAGTGGGCTTGCAGGTTTCGTTTTTGGAGTAGGGGATCCTTCTAAAGCCCTACAAAGCTCCGACCACAAAGCAAGAGTAGCATCTCCCTCAGGCCCGTTTTGCGTTCCTGTGCGCTTGTTGCAAGGACGACCCAGGGGCCCCAGTCAAATTCTTCGCCAACCCGGAGCACGATAGCAGAATAGCACGCAACTGCAAACTCTTGATTTGAAACCCTCCCCTGAAGACGAGCTGTGTAAGAAGGGTTTAGGTTTTGTGCTTGCGAATCGCTTCCTGGACCCCTACAGCCTGACCCTCCAGCCCCTAAACCCGAAACCCTCAAGCCCTAGACTCTAAACCCTAAAGCCCTAAACCCGAAACCCCTAAACCCCTAAACCCTGGGACCAAACATCCGTCCATCCCTCAGCCCCGAACACTCGATCTCCAAACCCTCTCAAACCACGTCTTCGCCTTCGCTTGGAGCATGTCAAAAGCAGCGGAATGCAAAGAAGCACGACAACCTCAGTACTTTTCTCTCGTAAAACCAGTCTGAAGAAGTCAATAAAAACTGGGAATTGTCCTCTAAATCTGGGCTGAGGGTTGAGGATCTCGCACACCAGCTTTCAAAATTCCAGGCGGGTTCAGTTTAGGGTTTAGGATTTTGTGTTGAGGCCACAGGGTTTACGTTTCCGGGTTGAGGTTATAAAGTGTGGGGCCTGAGTCTTCGCAGGGGTTTTGGGGTTAAGGTTGTGGAGGGCGTGACAAGGTCGGCTTCGGGGTCTGTGGCTTTGCGGTTTGGGGTTTAGGGTGTAGGGCTTAGGGTTTAGAGTTTGTGATTTAGGTTTCAAGGTGTAGAACTGAAACCGCACAGGCTTTAAAGTCGGACACGCTGTTGTCTTTCAAATTTTGCCGTTTGGGGCCCCTCCCCAATGGCCGTTTCAGGCAGTCCAGCCGTACGGCGCGACTTTTCCTCCTAGTGTAGGAACCGGATTAAAAGACCCTGGCGTTATAACCCCCAACATATTAGGATTCATATACAGAACTCTATTCAAAGTCAAGACCCAGGGCTTCTTAATGAGTTTCTTAGCGTCCGCAGGCTCAATGTTTGGCTTTTTCTACCCTAGAACTAGAATCGCTCTCTGTGTCGATTGCGAACAAATCTGCTAAGGAGCGCCCCGTTGGATTCAAGGCCCATCTGGGTCACTACCAAACCATGTACAGCGTGAATAATTGGGAATGGTATTTACTTTCGGGCGTTCCTTGCTTCAGTGTAAACATGATATACCCCCAAACCCCCATTCCAATTCAACGCCCCTATATGAAGGCTAGATCAGGGATGTGGTCGCAGTCTGGATCTGTATCAATATACAACTGGCCCCACGCGTCGACCAAGTTTAGAAGCCTGGATACTTACGAAGACTGATCTTTAGACTCCCTCTAGTGAGCATAGTATACTATACCGGACTGTAAACCCTAAACCCAAAACCCTAAACCCAAAGCCCTAAACCGCAAGCCCTAAGCCCTAAACGATAAAGCCTAAACCCTAAACCCTAAACCCAAAGCTGAGGAGCTGGCTAGCGCCAACATATCGCAAACCATGGCCCACGAGAACTTCGTCCTCACAGTGGCCGCTGAGCGATCACAAGGGTGAGGGCTTAGGGTTTGGGATTTGAGATTTAGGGTTTAGGGCTTAGGGTTTAGGACTTAGGGTTTTTTTGAACTCCTTTTTGATGACTGCAAACCAGGTCCGCTACATCAAGGCCTTAGGGTTGAGGGTTTTGGGTTTAGGGTTTACTTTTTTCGGGCCTTTATAAGTAGACTGAGGCTGCAACAAAGGCTGTACAAGGGTATGACGGGGGTTTCAAGGTCTGAAGGACTGAAACATACTGACCCTGACAAATCAGACGACGGTCTCATACAGGGATTTATGAGGCTTTCGAAGTTGAAGTCCAAGGGCCTTGATAGCCAGAGTAGGATCGTTGGGAAATGGGTTACACAAAGACTAAAGATAGTGCCTATTCAGACCTGTGTTTGCTGACCTATGCATCGGACCCAAACCGCCGATGATCCTGAAACCCGAAACAATCGGCTCTTTGGGGTGTAAGGCTTCAGGTTCAGGGTTTAGGGTTTTAGGGTTCCACAATCCGTGCACCCCAGAGTCACCTGCAAAAGGCTGAACCGTAATCCCTAAACCCTAAACCCCTGAATCCAAAACCCTCTATCCTCTGCCCTGATCCCGAAACCCTACGCCGACGCCTTATATTTTGGTCAGAATAATGAGAGCAGGGTGGTAGGGGGCTTTTTGCCCCTGGAATATAAGGATTGGACCGTATAAGGGGATACCATTTCTACTTGTTCCGACTCCTTACCCCGAAACCCTAGAACCCTGAAGACCCCTAAACCCTGAACCCTAAACCCTAGAACTCTAAACAGGTGAAGTCGTTCACCAAAGCTCGGCATGAAGTCGGCCCTCCCTCAACCCACAGCAAGGTTTTGGGGGCCTCAGTTTTTTGATTTGATTTGGCAGGAGTTTCGGGTTGAACCCTAAAAATCCCTTTCGCGGTAAGCCCGCTTTTTCAACCCAAAACCTAAACCGCGGGGTGCATGGGGGAATTTAGGGCTGAAGCTTCAGGGGTTTGGAAATGGGGTTCAGCTGTTCAGGGGGTTCAGGGGGTTCAGGTGTTCGGGCGGTTAGGGTGTTTGGGTTTTGGGCAGTGCCCCGAGGCCGCCACAGGCCCAGGAGGAAGTAGCAGTCATCCTCCTTCGGTTTGGCTCCGGCCTGACCTCTCTGGCCTCAGGAGGGTTTAGGGGTTTTGTGGGTGTTTTGGGGTTTTTAGGGGACTTAGGGTTTCGGTGCTTAAGCTAGGACTGTTTGTGAGAGCTCTATGAAAGGTTTTATAGGGCTTTGGAAGGGCTGTGCATGGAACAAGGGTTCGGGGGGGACAATAGTGCAACGAGATGGGGACGATGGGAGGTTTATAGCGAGGACCCCTAAACCCGAAACCGTCAACTGAATCGAATCCACACGCTTGGGGAACCCGGGAAAGCTTGTGAAAGAGTGGGGGTCCGCTCCCCCCACAACGAAACTGAATCTTGAGCCCAACAAAGCTCTCACGCATCCAGGGTTTTGGGTTCAGGGCTTGAGGGTTCAGGGGACAGGCATGACCTTCGGGGCTTTGGACTGGTGACTGAGGAGGTCTTACTTTGGGTACACAGTTCACGGTTTAGGGTAGAGCTTAGGGTTCCTCATTATGGTTTTTAGAGACTTCCTGAGAAAGGTAGGGTGCCTTGAATAGGTGAAGTTTAGGGTTCGGGGCTTGCTGCGAACCAGAAGTCGCGACTGCCAAATACCTGAGCTCTGCCTCGCCAGCCGCCAGCCCTGCAGTCTAAGCATTAAACCTTAAAGAATAGAAGCCTTGGAATTAGGGTTACTGCTAGCCCCAAAGCCCAAAGCATCTCCAAACCCTGAACCCAATTATGCAGAGCATGCAGGAACACTCTTCCTCTTCCGCCGTAAACCTTGCAAAATCCCTGATAAGACCACGCAAATATTTCAAGAAAACCCGAGAGTACCCCGAGAACACCCCGTTCATACCAGTATAGACCCTGGCCACACAAAGAAACCGTTAAAACCCTTCAAAAGGAAGGACCGCTAGACCCTCAGAGGCTCCGACCGGCGGAGCCCGCGGTCCCTGCGAGCTCCAGGGCGCCCTTCAGTTTGGGCTCAGGGGCCTCCAAGCAGGAACTTCGGTGGTTTCAAGGCTCAGTGGTTTTGGGGTTTAGGGGGTTTGGGGTTCAAGGGCTTGGGGTTTAAAGGTTTAGGGTTTGGGGTTTCGAGTTTCGAGTTTCAGGTTTCGGGTCTAGGGTTCAGGGTTTCGGGTGCCTCCAAGCAGGAACTTGCTTGGCTAATACAGGAGCCAGAATAGTGGGGGCCTCGAAGCAAAATAATGCTGCTGCTAATGACTTCAATGTCAAACCCTCAATTCTGTAAGATTCTTAAATGAGATTCTTAAACGTCTTGTAAGGGTTCCGCAAGGGGGCCTGATAGGGTAAGGGGTTCGTTCTTCGGGATCCAGGTACCAGGTTAGGTGAGGTTTGGAATTTGGATTCCAGGGTTCCTTGAAGGACCCCTTCGTGATGGTGCTTGAAAACTGGAGGGTTAGGGTTTGGGGCTTCTGGCATACCTTGACCCCAAATAACCTACCTGTTTAAAGACATATTTGAGGAGATCATACTAGGAAATCCTAAAGAGGAAGGTGTTATAGGGTCCAGGTAGGGCTTATAGGGATTAGGGCCTAGAGCCTCTTTGCTTTCTTCCCGGGCCGTTCGGGTTTAGGGTCTTGAGGCTTGGGGTTTAGGGTAAGGGCATTCAGGGTTGCAGTTGCAGGGCTCCGGGCTAAAGGGCTTAGAGCGTTGGGACTGTAGGGTTTTTTTGCGGCTGAGCCTTTTGGGTTCAGGGTTTTGGGTTTCACTAACGAGGACAAAGGTTTAAGGGTCCTAGGGTTTCGGGGCTTCAAATTCAATTTCGGGCGCTTCAGGGATTAGGATTTAGGGTGTAGTGTTTCGGGCGTCGCGGCTCGAGGCCATTGACCTGGGTGTCTTTTCCCTAGTGCCGTGGTCTTAGCCGCTTCCCGACCCCAGCTACTTTCCCCTGTGTGTAGCGCCATAGCTGGAGCCTTTTGTTTCAACTTGCATGTCGAGCCTCTGTACAGCTTCTGCTCTTTGTCTAGTTTCTTGGCCGCGACCCTACAGCAGGGTCGCTTTTCGGCCTACTTGCACGCATGATGGCACAGGATCTCCTTTGGCACGTGAGTGAGTGAGTGAGTGAGTGAGTGAGTGTAGTGTTTCGGGCTTTATCAGGGCTGTTGAGGATTTCACGATTTTGTATTATCCTCGTTAAGATTTCGGGTTTAATCTCAATCAGTTGAAGGCTGTGTTGGGGCTGATTCCTCCTGCGGCTCTTCGGGGCTTTGGGCTTTAGGGCGCTGGGTTTAGGCTTTCGAGAGCCCTATGCTCGAAAAATTGCCCAGTAAACCCCCGAAAACCGTAAGGACCCTGAAGCCTTCAAGCCCTCAAGCTCTAAAAGCCCTCCTTCTGCCCGTGCATTCTTCCCAAAAGACCTTATCAGTCCCGAAACACCCTAAAGGCCCGAAAGCCATAAGCTCTGAAAAACGCATAAGCCATCATCAAACCCTCCAAGCCCGCAAAGCCTCTACGCTCGAAACCCGGAACCAAAAGCCCTCAAACCCTAAACACCTCTGCAGGCCAGTCCTTCTTCGCATGGCCCTTTAGCGCCTGGCCATGGCCCGCAGCCGGAGCCTGGGAGGTTGTTGAAGTGGGGCTTTCGGGGTTTAGGATTTAGGGTTCCTTTAAGGGTCCTTTAAGAATGCTGTAGGGGCTTAAGACTTAGCGTATGCAAGGGTTTAGGATCTAGGGTTCAGAGTTTGGAAGGGCTTTGGAATTAGGTAGGTTGGGGAGTTTAGGCTTAGGGACTTCGGGGTTTAGAGGTTTAGGGTCTGGAGTTTGGGGAGGCTCGGATCCAGTCTACTTGAAACCTGTTGTGCCGCTCTCGTCTTTGGGCTTTATCTAAGGCCGTGAATGATTAAAGTAGGGATTCTTGCGGGTACATTACAGGGAACTGCAAGGGGACAGTATCGGCAAGAATTCCAAAACCCTGACAAAGCCCCAGAGACCCTCAAAACCTTTTTTTGAACCCTAGTAAGGCTTTAATCAAGAACCTTATAAACCCTACGTAAACTAAACCCGTAAACCCCTGCAACCTTGAACCCGTCGAGCTTTGATACGGGGTGTTCACAAAGGAACATAGACCTGACTGGTCATCTCTTCGTTTCGCAAACGTTGTACCCCAAAACCTTGAAGGAACCTTTAAAGGACCCCATAAAAGAATCCTTAAACGAACCTTAAAGGAGCCCTTGCAGGCACCCTTCTAAGGAACCCTTCCAGTACAGGGTTTGGGGGTGTGTCATAAGCCCGTTATGACATGTTATCAGCTCTTATAGCTCACCATAAACCTGTCGGTAACCTGTCTGAGCCCATACATCTGAACCTGTCTGAGCCCTTCTAAACCCTGAGCCTGACCTCTAAACCGCTCAACAATCTGAATCCTGGGCCTGCGCAACGGGACTGGCCACATCCAGGACGGGGCCTGGCTTCCGTTTCACGGGCTCGTTAACTGTGCTCAATGGTTTGATGGTTTTCCTGTATCAGGATGCTTCAAAGCATTGTGATGGTGTGGTAGTAGTCGCAGTAGCAGTAGCAGTAGCAGTAGCAGTAGCCGTAGCAGTAGCAGTAGCAGTAGCAGTAGCAGTAGCAGTAGCAGTAGCAGTAGCAGCAGTAGCGGTAGCGGTAGCAGTTGCAGTTGCAGTTGCAGTGCAGTGGCAGTGGCAGTGGCAGCAGCCGTAGCCGTAGCCGTAGCAGTAGCCGTAGCCGTAGCCGTAGCCGTAGCCGTAGCCGTAGCAGTAGCAGTAGCAGTAGCAGTAGCAGTAGCAGTAGCAGGCAGTAGCAGTAGCAGCAGCCGTAGCCAGTAGCCAGTAGCAGTAGCAGTAGCAGTAGCAGCCGTAGCCGTAGCGTAGCGTAGCCGTAGCCGTAGCGTAGTAG